GTATTTTACATTTTACTAATTTTCTTTTAATTATATAATATAATAAGTTGCACTATGTAAAAATAAGAAAGAGAGAAAAAAAATTAAAAGTTAGGGAAACAAAACAGAAATATTTTCTCAAAATAATGGACCCTGGCTTCCCAATTATTGGGGGGGTCCGGACCCCTGTGGTTCCGACGCCAGTGATGCAGATTTGTTTTACTTAAAAATAACATTACGCTTTAGGTTTCTATTTGTTGTTTAAGGGGCAGTTCAGGTTATTAAATATTCTATGGGGTACAAGTATAAAAAGTTACAAACTTGAAGGAACAATTTTATTTGAATTTTTAAACATCAAAAAATCCATGCATGTGTTACGCTTTTCTCCTCATGACCATGCTCTGTATCAGTCTTTCCCAAAGTGTGGTGCTCGTACCCCCAGGGGTACGGGAACAGTTTAGTGGGGGTACGCGTTCTAAAACGAAATATCTTGCAACAATTGAAAATTTCAAACAATTTTATTTAAAAACAAAGCCATGAAAATTTACGATTTATTTTTCTATTGGCTATTTTTTGCGGAGTTAACAGTTAATTAGTGGTGTCAACAACCAGTTGTGATTTTTCAATTTTGTGCAATTTTTTATAGTAATGGTTTGTAATAAATTCAACTTATTTTAATTATTTTTATAAAATGTAATTTTTATCCCTATAACTACAAAAACAATATCATCCTTCTCACTGATGCAAATAAAACTTTGGACCAAAAAAGAAATCTGAAAATAGTTTTAAAAAAATGCATTCATTTTTTTTTTTATTAGTGGTGCGCAGCGTTACGAAAAATTTAGAAAGAGTACACAGAAGTCATAAGTTTGGGAAACACTGCTCTGTATAATGAAAAATATTTACTTCTTAGTAGTATTTTAATTAAATATCTATGATATTTTAATCAAATTTAAGAGTGATAGTTTTGTTTATTTCTTTGTAGAGATGCCACTGGACGAATGCCTGTCTAGTTTAAAGAGAAGCCTTGAGAAATTATCGGATGGTGCTTATCAAACTTTAAAGTACTTGTCTCACTTTCTGTTGCAAGTGGCTTTCCATGAAGAACATAATGGAATGAGTTCCAATAGCTTAGCTGTCATCTTTGGACCACTTATATTTAGGTAACTCAACTTCTTCTTCTTTGTCAGCTCAACAGCCCCTTGCCTCAACAGCTGACAAATGCCAGCAACTCCCTTCCAATTTCTAATCTTTAGGGTTTTTGTAATAATTTTCGATGTCATTGAGCCATCTAGTAGGGTGTCTGGGATGTGACCCCTCGGGGTTCTTAAAGGTGACTCTTTTCAGGCCTTCTCCATAGATGGCCCAGCCCATTACTGTGAAATCTGTAGAGTTGATAGAACACAAAGTTATATCTTCAATTGTGCCAAAGATGGCTCTTTCGTTCAAAAGTGTCCGCTGTATATCTGAATTTAGGGTCCAAGTTTCACTTCCATAAGGAAGTATGAGTGTCTCAGAGAGTTTGTTTTTCGGCTGAGAATCTTAGCACTCGACTTATTAGGGATGTAACAAATATTTGTATGTCCTATCGATTTGTATTCAGGCGATTTTAGAACCGAACGTTGTGATTCGCATGATGGATCACACATTATGACTCATATTCACACACTTTGAATAAATAAATTAAATATTGCGTATTGATATTTTTAAAAATGTTTCCTACTTACACTTTTTTCTTGTTTCAGGTATTATTTTTTTTTTCAATTCTTAAAAAATGGTCTAGATTTCTCTTTCAGCTTTTAGCCGAACTCATGACTGTGGTGTGAATCAATATAAGAGTTTTATGAAAATTAAGATATTTTTTAATAAAATCCATGACTTTTAAACGAATTACGCCAAAATGAGGTGGCTACAAAATTGGATTGCTTGCAGAAAGTTTTTAAATTGAGAATTTGTGTTTGTTGTGACAGAATGTTTTTCAATTTATCCAAGTCTGTTCACGCAAAACACCAATTTAGTTGTCAGATTTAGCTAATGCAGGGTTGCCACAGACGACTGAAATGCAACTATTTTTGGCATGAGGCGACTATGGCAACTTTTTTTTTGCCTGTAAAGGCTAAAAAAGCAACTATTTTCAAGAAAAAGAGACTATTGGGAGACTTTTCTGTACTCCTAGAGATGTTTTTTTTTCAAGCCTAAATTGGTGAAAAATCTGCACCCCGCTAGATAGTTCCTGAACACACTGAACTTTTTTTTCTTAAAAAAATATTTTACAATTTTGAATTGCAAATTTGAGTCTTCATTTTTTAATTCGTTCAATCTGCTCAAATTCCATTGTAAGTCTATTTCATTTCTCGATTACCTTTTCAATGATTATTGCTATAAAATTCTGCATGATTTTTTTTATTTTTAAAAAAAAACAAAAGTTTTTAACAGTNTATATATATAAACATTTATATGAAAATTATCATATTTGCCACCAACTTGACTGAATGGATCATGGTATATGACAATTAAGTCATTAACAAAATATTTTTGATGAATATTTGTTTTTATTAGGCAACTATTTTCCTAGTTTTTGGCTACTATTTTCATGCTTTAGGCTACTAAAAGCAACTATTTTGTTCATTTTTTTCTGTGACAATCCTGCTAATGTATCTATCTTAGATTGTATCGAAAGTTTCATCCAGTTACTTTCTGCAGCATACTAAAAAATAACATTTTATTTTAAGTTAAATTTCCTTCTTTATCTTAGATTGAAACTTCTATATGATTTACTTTGTCAGGCTGAAACAAAATGAACTGTTTTGGCATTCAATGTATAATTGGAGACAAGGTATATCTATAATTGATATTCATTCACCAGAAATTATAAATAAAGAGCCATGATGACTCAGGGGATAGAGCGCTTGCCTTCCACTGAGGATAAAAAGGTTCGAATTCCGCACCTGGCTCGCGTGGATCATGGGTTAGAGTCATGTTTTCATGGTTTTTCTCTCCATGTAACGAAAATGCGGGTTAGTTCCATCAAAAAAGTCCTCCACAATGGCAAATGTCTTCCAATACTCGATCCAAGAGTTCACTAGTCTTCTGCATTGGATTCAAAAGTACAAGGCTGAGTAGTCGAACATTAGTACTCGTAAACCAAAAATTTTGGATCGGCTAATTGGAGATATAAAATAAAATGCCGTATGAAATAAAATAGAAATGTCAAATATTTTTTCACTGAAATTCTATTATTTCTAATTGAATAGTCAAAAGGTGCAGAAATCTAAATGATCCTCTTTTACAAATAAAGTGATTGTGCGATTCCCTTCGGCAGTGATGCATGCCCATACATGGGAATGTTACTTTTAAAAAGTACAAAACAAAAAGCGTAACGATTTTAAAGTGCATGTCGATGAAATCGAAAATTCAAAATATTTGTAAATTTCATTAAAAAAATGCTCGAAAAATTCTTTTAAAATTCATTAAATTTTAATTTAAAGGTATAAAACATTACAATGCAAGAAAAAGCTGGAGGAATGAGCGTTGAATAAAATTCTGTTGAAAGAGTGAACGTTGAAGGAAATCAAACGAGACATCAAAACTATTTTGGCATATGAAAAGGAATTTTAAATTACTCTAATTTTAGAATTGTTTAATGTTTAGAATTTTTAATAACAAATTAATTTGTTAAAGAAATTCAATAACATTATTGTTTTTATTTAAAAAAATTTTATAGGGCTCAAAAGTACAAAAGCTACGGAGTTGAACATTGGCAGTAGTCGTGAACCCCGAAAATTGGTCTGTTGTTCAACGACGGTTATAAAATATAAAAAAAGAAACTCTAAATAAAATGCAATTGAGTTTTTAAGACTGTCAGGGTGCATAGCGTATTTAAAAAGTGCTTAAAGGTGTTTATTTCCGAACTTCGTTTTTTAAAAGCCCTTAAAAGTGCTTTTTTCATTGAGTATTTTTAAAAAGTGCTTAATTTTCCCTTTTCCAAAATGAGATTTTTCCTTTACCATGCTGATTTTTTCCGCGAATTAAGCAAAAAGACATAGTTCTATTCAAAAATTTTACAGTTAATGCAACCTCAATCTATTTCAGCGTACCATCGGTTCATTCGTTTTACATGATTCAAAATTTTATGATTTTTGACAATTGTCAAAAAAAGTCAATCGTGAAAAAGTTGTTTTTTTTTTACATGACTGTAGAACCGTCAATAGTCAAAAACTTGCCAACCTTGACTAATTATATTTTTTTCTAAAGTGCTTAAAAATATTTTTCAGTGCTAGAAAAGTGCTTAAAAATATTTTTCAGTGCTAGAAAAGTGCTTAAAAGGTGCTTATTTTTTTTTTGAAAAATTTGGCTATGCACCCTGACTGTTTGGTTTCTTTGTTTTTAGGCGTTCATCTGAAGACAAGCAGATGATATTGAATTTCCAGGATATCACAAATTGTTTTGTGAGAGACTATTATACCATATTTGAAGGAGCAGTTATTACATCTGATTCTAATAGGGTTCTTTCTAAATTGTTGAAAAAGGTGATTATTTTATTTCTCTATTACCCAATAAGAAACAATTCCTTATTTATTGTTTTTTCGTTGCTCGAATGATCTAATATGAATATAAATCATATTAAGTCGTCAGGCATATAACATTTATTTAATATTTTATGGATTTTTCTTTTTCTAAAAAGTTGCCTGATTAAAATTGTAAGCACTAAGAAAATACAAAAAACATCGAATTAAAAATTAATTCTATTGAAAAAGGAGCACTATTTTGAAATATCAGCTCTTTTATGGAACTACGGCTTCACAGACTATGAATACTGTGTCTGGCTCTTGTGTTAGTCTAGTGCAGGGGTGGCGAACCTTTATACATCAACGTGCCATTTTTCTAAAAAAAAAAATTTAATGAGGTCATAGACGTGCCGTCAAATAATTTTGACTTCGTGATTATAGGGAAAATAATAATACTAAACACTATCAACTCAAAACTCTTTATTTACATTGAAATAAAATACATTTGGCAATGTCTCAATTATACGCATAATTCAACTTAAAGTAACATCAGTGTGACTTCTGTTGTTGCAGATTAGATGACAAATAACTTATATTAGGTTGTAAGATGTTAGTTTAAGCAGGACTCTTAAATTATTTTTGCTAGTTATTTATTGTTAGCTTGTTTTTTATGGTTATAATTTTGTTTTTTTAGCATTAATTGTTAATTTCTTTTATTAATAATTGCTTATTATTTTGTTTGTTTTTCGTGAATTTTAATTAAATTGTTACATATGCTTCAATTGTGATAGGTGGCGTGCCCAAAATATTGTGTCGAGTGCCATTGGTTTGCCATCCCTGGGCTAGTGTAAACGTAAAACCACCCTTTTGTTTTGTTTTTTTAATGCTGAAAAGTGTTTTAACATTCTGCATAAAAAAAATTTAGGTGGTGAAAGTTTTTGAATTATTTATTAAAAAAATTTTCTAAATAAATCTTTTCAAATTATTTTTATATATGTATAGTTATACAAGTATTTTTCCAGTTTAATTCTATCGTTTTCAACTTTTTTCTTTCGAATGACATCAAGATTAAGAAAATTGGCTCTTAAATAAAAAAGATAGGAACATTATTTATATAAGAGCCACCATCTTTCGATGTTATTTCAAAATAACTGCCAAATGTTTTGGTTTAAAAAATATTAAGAACTATTCATTTTTCATCCAGTAATTTTTCACAAAAAAATTTATACAAATATCTGTTATGGCAGCAAGGACATATTTTTATTTTAGACCATTTCAAATGATATATGTATGTATCATTTCCATATCTACCTGCATTTTAAATGTATATTATTATAGACTTTTAGAAAAGGAAGGGGCACTCCTGCCTACTAATATGGTGCGTAGCATTTTTAAAAAGTACTTAAAGTTGCTTATTTTTGATTTACGTTTTTTAAAAGCCCTTAAAGGTGCTTTTTTATTCGGGGTTTGTAAAAAGTGCTTATTTATCTATCTTTTAAAAAGAGATTTTTTCTTTGTCATGTCAATTGTTGTCATAAATTACAAAAAAAAAAAAAAAAAAAAAAAAAAAAAAAAAAAACTTTCACAATATTCTTTGCTTGTTTTTATCAGGAGTCTGTCCAGACATTTTGTGAAAGGTCTGTTTTGTAAAATTGTGAAAAAATTACCCGTAATTGGTAAATATATAAAATAAACGTTAAGTAACATTCTTTCAAGCAGGGTCCTGCTTTTGTGAATTTGTGCAAATAGGGTCCAGTTATTGCAAAAAACTTTTTCAAAAAGTTTTTAAATTGCAAATAGATACAAGATTATGCTTAACACTGTAAAATTATAATTAAAAAAATTACATTTTCAAAAATAAACAGCAATTGCTGCTACTAAATTAGAGATGCAACATGCAAATGTTTGGTATTTAGCCTATATTGCTGAACGCGGAATATTCATTTCGGACGAAGACAAAGCTTAGTTCGTTTACATCTGTCATTCTCCCCTCCCCCCCTCCTGGAAATGCATTACCAAAACAATACTGAAGATAAACAAATTTGTGAAGGGTCCGAATAAAAGATAAATTATTTTATAACTGTAAGATACTGTTTTTGCGTTAAAATATTTTGTGAAGGATCCGTTTTTATGAAAAGATATTTTGTGAAAGTTCCTTTAACGGACCCAAATTTCTTCTAAACAGATATATTTGGACCCATTTTAAATGTATATGACTATATTATAGACTTTTAAAGCAAGGAGGAGGGGAGCTCCTGCCTTCTAACATGGTGTGTAGCATTTTTAAAAAGTACTTAAAGGTGCTTATTTTTGATTTACATTTTTTAAAAGCCCTTAAAGGTGCTTTTTTTATTCAGGGTTTGTAAAAAGGGCTTCATGTTCTACCTATCAAATAGATTTTTTTTTTTTTGTCATGACGATTGTCTTCATAAATTACAAAAAAAAAATTCATGATTTTCACAATTTTCTTTGCAATATTTATTGTTTTTATCATGGAACTAGTTGTTTTTATCATGATTCTGTAAAGTTTTTGAAAATGTTTTGAATTTTACTGATTTTATGATTATAAAATAAATAACTTTAAACGATAGGGGAAAAAAATTATTACTGTACAGATCCTAACTATGATTTTTTATTTATTTATTTATTTATTTTTTTTTTGGTAAGTGATTAAAAATATTTTTTGTAATGTCGATTGTCGTCGTAAATTACAAAAACAAAAAAAAAAAATTTTCATGATTTTTCACAATTTTCTTTGCAATATTTATTGTTGTTTTTATCATGATTATGTAAAGTTTTTGAAAATATTTTGAATCTTATTGTTTTTATGATTATAAAATAAAAAACTTTAAATGATAGAAAAGAAGAAAAAAATTTCATACTGTACAGATCCTAACTATGATTTTTTTTTTTTTGGAAAGCCATAAAAAATATTTTTTTGAGTGCTTAAAAAGTACTTAAAAGGTGCTTATTTTTTATTCAAAAATCTGGCTATGCCTCCTGTTCTAAAAAAAACTTGTACAAAATAATGATGAAATTATTTTTTTATTTTTAAGAATTCTTATCCTTCCTCTGTTATGTCTCCATTGAGTGTCATCATTCCTGTCATAGATGATGATGATGATGACATTGAGAGTGAAAGGGTACCCACTGTTCTTCTAGCAGAGAGGTGAGAATATATTAACTTTGCTCCTGTTGTTGTTCTTTGTTTTCCCTATTATTCAACTATTACTTCATTTTAGGACTGGATTACTTCCCCTCACTGTTAACACTCCAAATGACAACAAATGCTCCATAAAAGAGATTGGTAAGTGATTTTATACAGTGTCTATTAAAACTGTGTTGTTCATCCTGAAAATATTGAATTTTATGAGGCGACTCATTTTATAAACCGGAATACAGGGTTCCCACAGGTTTGGGGAGAACCTGGAATTGTCAGGGAGTTTTATTTTAACTCCAAAAAATCAGGGAATAGTCATGGAAAGTTGCAATTTTGTACAAAATAACCGGGAAAATTCTTATATCATCAGGGACCGATAAAGACAAGGCCCACCACATTTTCTGGAGATCTCACAGAATGTTTTAAAATTGAATTACTGAAGAGTAGTCCTAACACGGCTGATTGTGCTCCGGAAGAAATCCAGGTTTCCGGAATTTTTGCTAACAGTGATCCGGAGATCGAAGGTCCAGACGTTTCAAAAAATCATTGATCGCAGAAGTTTCCGGAATTTTGAAAGGTGGAACTTAAAAACACAGTTTATTTTATTTGTTTGTAAAGGAGATCCAGAGAGATACTTTATAAGCTTATATTCATGATTAATATTCATTTTATATCAGTAAATAGTTGTTATAATCATAAAATCAAAAAAGAAAGACAGGTCATCATAGGTATGTGTAAATGGTATAGGTATGTGTAAAATTTTAAATATATTTTAAGTAAACTGAGAAATATTGAGAAAAAGGAAGAAAAAACTTGTTTAAATTTTTTTCAATTTAAACTGTTTTTTTTAAACTCAAGAAATTTTCCGGAATTTTGACTTGAGCTCACAATCACCCCTGCTAACAATAAAAAGAAAATCTATTGAACTGCATGATTCAAGAGAAACATTATAACAAATTTTGAAAACAAGACATTTGAAGATTATTTTTCTAAGATAAAATTTACGCATCTATAAATTAAAGCAAAATATAAAACAATGTTATGCCAAAGTAAAAAATAGTTTGGTGACCACAAGCAATTGGAATCAGTGTTTTTTTGCTAAAAGTCACTGATTAGCTGAATTATTTTTTATTTAGTACTTAAACCAACACAAAGCTAGCCCACCTTACATTAGACTTTTAACTCATTTTTGAGGCTCCTCAGAAATTGTGGGCAGGCCCATGCCTATCAGGCCTAGTCGATGATCAGGCCCTGTATCTCATGTCTGGAAAATAACCAGTCTTAAAATTTTCCGTAACAGTAATCAGTCATTGAGATTCTAGTTAAATAATTCTAACATCCATTAACAATTATTTGTTGTAAAAATTTCACATTTTAGTCAAAGTTTTATGTTCCCATCCTCATTTAATGATTTTTGTTTTTTACACAGAATATCTAATATTTCACATTACAAATAAAAGAATCTAATTTTTCTGATAAAAATAGGGTCTCGATTTTCATTGAAATTCACCCTGGGAATATCTCACTCGGGTGATGGTATTCTGGGTTGTAACAAATCAAGCTACGTTTTTTTAGAATATGTTACAGTGATTTTTTAGAATTTATGGGACGTATGCTAGAATTTCGGGCTTTTCACAGAGTCTAGCAGAAGGGCATGTTAATTTTTTCGCGGAATTCCGATTTTCTCGACCTTTCATCTGCAAACTTCTGTGAATCAAAAAATTTCATTCGCTGAAATTTTCACTGCAATTTAAAACAAGAACTAAGGTTTCCGCTTTTAAAAATTTAAGTTTGGAAACCTTTTTCTTAACGAGACATTTTCATACGCGTGATCTTGAGTTAAGACACCCTAGTGTATAGTGTTCTTAAAAAGTGCTTAAAGGTACTTGTTGTTGTTTTTAAAAGCCCTTAGAGTTGCATTTTTTGTTGGGAGCTTATAAAAAGTGCTTAATTTTTCCTTTTCCAAAGTAAGACATTTTTTCTTTTACATCTTAGTCACTGGGAAGCCAATGACATTCTCTTGCTGTGCTATCTGTAGATAAGCTCCATAATCCTTGAACTTGATTTATGGATTATTCACTAATTACGTATTTTCATATGGGTCCAGAACATTCACCAAGTTTCATCACCTCAAAATTTCTTTTTTATTCATTTAATTTTACTTAAGATAAGTAATTGACATTTTTAATCGCTAACCTGAGAGACCGTCCACTTATTTTATGCCTTTTTAAACTTTCTATCGCTCTTTGTACCCTTTTTTTCTTATTATTTTTCTTCTAATGACATGTTTCTTATTACTTTTATGCAAAAAAACACTTAAAGAATGAATACAAAAACAAAGATAAACAGTCAGTCATTAGATAACAAAATAGAAATAAAACGTATATAAAATCTTTACAATTAAAATGAAAATATAAATGTGTGTTTGCAAAAAGGTACTTCATCCGGGGAATATGGAAAGTATTTTCATATGCGGAATATATTTTATTACTATTACTTTAATTAACTGTTACTTTACTCACATTTATTTATATTGTGATTTGAGGGAGACGTTTCATTTGTTGGTTTAAATTTTGTACTTTTTAGTTTTTATTCCTTTTCAATTTTATAGTGCTTTTCAATTGTGGTAAAGTTTATCTATATTTTTTCTTTTCATTATGGGGCCTCGGTGCACCGTTAGTTTTGGTTAAATCCACTAACAACAGAAAGACTCCTGTGTGTTTGAAGGGGAAAAAATGTCCCCTGATGAAGTACTGTTTTGCAAACACACAAATTTATATTTTCATTTTAATTGTAANATAAATATTTTATTACTATTACTTTAATTAATTGTTACTTTACTCACATTTATTGATATTGTGATTTTAAGGAAGGCGTTTCATTTGTTGGTTTAAATTTTGTACTTTTTAGTTTTTATTCCTTTTCAATTTTATAGTGCTTTTCAATTGTGGTAAAGTTTATCTATATTTTTTCTTTTCATTATGGGGCCTCGGTGCACCGTTAGTTTTGGTTAAATCCACTAACAACAGAAAGACTCCTGTGTGTTTGAAGGGGAAAAAATGTCCCCTGATGAAGTACTGTTTTGCAAACACACAAATTTATATTTTCATTTTAATTGTAAAGATTTTATATATGTCTTACAGTGTATTCATTACAGAAAAAAAATGGGAGAGAATTTCTCACCCTTTCACTAAAACAGGGTGAGATTTCAAAAAGTTAAATGAGATTTCTAAAAATTAAAAAAGCACGAATAGACTTGGAAATTTTTTTTTTCTTTAATTATAATACATTTTTCACATCTTCTAATTGAATATTTTTGCTGCATCATCATATGGAAAATGTTCTATATCTACTTTTTCATTGGCTATTATATTTATTTGGCTGAAAAATATCCGTATTTGTTTCGTTTTGACCGTTTCTACCTATATTTGTTTCATTTTCATTTGTCTGTTACAGAGAAGAAGATGTCGCCTTAACAAGGTATTTGTCCATCTTACATTCATGCACAAAAAATTTAAACATCTTACATGAAGAAACCTTACCTATGGTGAACACGTGGTTGCAGAGAAATGTGTTCTGAAAGTGCTCCGCTGTTCGCACCCGTTCTGAATACTGATAAATAGGGAAGCTAAATAACAAGGACCGATGTTCAAAATAATGAAAGATCAAGGAAGAAAAGTGAAACGGATTTTATTCAAAATTTTAAAAGACGAAATTTTTTCCAAAATTCGTGCATTTTGAAATTGATTCATAGCGTGCGCGAACTTCTCGCGTTAATCGTTTTTTATTGCGAGAAAAGAAAAAAAATAGACGAGATTCTCGTGTTCTCTCGCTGTAGTGAAAACACTGTCTTATTTCTATTTTTTGTAAAACAAATTTGGTTTCAGCTGCCTTGTGCGCTTTTCCAATATGATTTAATGTTTCAATGTGTTTATTTGCCTCTTATGTATCAAATTGCCTTTGTAAATTGAATTGATTTTATGATTAGATTAGATAACAAAAATAATAATTAAAGAAAACATACATTTGAATACAGTGAAGTCTTTATTGAAATGTTGTTGTTTAGACGTTGTTATCACGAGGAAGAGGAAGGAGAGGCGTTTCTCTGGAGAAGATGGACAACAGAGATCCAGTTCAGAGGAGAGGCCCAACAGTCTCCTAGTTGTGGGTGCCATCGACCTACTCAGACGCTGCAACAGTCACGAAGAAGTACTGGAGGAGCAAAACAAAGAACCATCTTCTAAATCAATGGTTTGTTCCAAAAAATACATGCTATGTAATTTTTTTTTTTTCGTTTCGAAATGATTTGCGAGGGGAAGCGTGAAAGCGTGCTTACCGCTGACGCCGGAAATCTCTCTCGCATGTATCTTTCCAGGGCCGGAGGGTTTTTTGATGTTAAACCTAATTCCATGACATTACCGAAATATCAACGCATTGTTTAATATTGTTCTGTAGAGTATTTAAATGACATATGCTTTATATATATTTATGGATACTTTATTGAGTTATTTATTTCTTGTTTGAATATATATTTTTAGCATTTTATTTTCATTATGCCCTTATTATTTAATAACATTTAACATTACATATCTAAAAACTAAATACAGTGGAAAGTCGCATATACGGAATCGGAGGGACTTTTGGAAGTCCGGATATTAGATTTTTTCGTATAATAGACCCCCAAGGTAAACAAAACTTAAAATGATCTAATAAAAGCTAAGAAGCAAAAAATAAATCAGCATTATTTTTCGGGTAATAATGTTTTAGTATTAGAATGAGATCTAATCAATCGAAAAATTTAGAAAAAAATAATTATTGCTTAAAATATAGAAAACGAAAAAAAATGTGACAGTTATGAAAATATTAATTCCTCTCTCCGCCATTTTGAACTGAAATGATTCAAGCAAGAAGGGGAAATTTCCCTCATTCATTAAGGTGGGTAGGTGTAAAAGAAAATTCATTTCCTCATTATTTGTCATTCAAGTTGAGGCCGGGGCAGTGACAAATTCTTATTTTCTCTCTCATCATTGGCTATCAATCAAGCATAAAGGTGCGGCATGCTGATTGGTTTCCCTTTATTTTTTCTTGTGTGACTGAAAGTGACTTTCCCTCCACGTTAATGTCTACTGTGTTTACCCTTTTTCACAGTATTTCATCTTTCCTTAACACTCTAATAAAAAGGTTCCAGGAAATGCCTCTTTTACTATCCAGCTGCTGCAGAGGAAAGAAGGGGACTCAGTTGTGCTCTTTTGAAAACAAATCTCCCTCCTTTCCTGCATTCCTGAGCAGATGATCTTGGGAGGTTTTCTCTTCCCCTTTCTGTTGATTTATGGGTTCAATGCATGAATCACTAGAAGCTAGAGAAAGAAGAAATATGTCCAAAGACCTTTTTTTTTTTTAAAGGAGAGGGGAAGATAAGAGATGTTTGTTTATTTTGATTGTTAAAATGTGCCCGGGAAATTGACCCTTCCGAAAAAGGGACGTCCGGATATGGGACGTTACGCTGTATATGACTTAAATTTTTTTTTTCATATTAAAATTTTTGAAGGGGGGGGGGGACGAGAAAACGCTCGGGCACACGGGTGTGTCAGCCGGGAAGTGAGCGTGTTTCTTGCTGGCACGTATATGTGACAGTCGGCGCAAAAGGGTTAAAGATTAATTGATCTATGGCCAGGGTTCGTACAGACTCCTTAGAAACTCCTTGCAAATAAAAATGTCTCCAAGGAGTACTTGGAACTACTTAGATTTCCAAATTAGTCCTTAGAAACTCCTTAGATTACTGCATTGCATAGATGAACTTACTAAGTCCGCTTATGATTTTGCTGTCCAAGCAGGGACACTAAATAATATGACTTAGATGTCAAAATCTAATAGTTTAAGAAAAACTTCAAAAGAAAAAAAAATTGAATTGCAAAAGTTATAAGGGGAAAAAAATAACAGCAAATAATTTTAATTTTACTTGTTACTAGCAAACTTAATTAATGATTTATTGTGAAAATTTTTTTTTTTTGGTATTAACCCCTTACCTGCCGAGTAAAATTTACGTGATTCACTCCCCAGTGCCACCGTTTTTCGATCAAGTGCGCTTTGTTACACGATATTTTGATGGGGTAAAAAGATGCACGCTTTGCAATTTAAAAACAGTTTACTTTCACAAGAGAAGAAAAAGGAAAGAAAGAAAATACGAAATTTAAATTAAATGACAAAAATACAATATAAAAGATGTTAAAACTTAGCTGTTGTATGATAAATCCTGAAACATGGTTGGACACATAAACCAACATCACATTCATTGCACTGATGGCGGGATTCTCGACGAATGTACACGGGAAGCGAAAGGAGAATAAACCCGACCTTACTCAAATAGAAACACACAAGCAATAAATATTATGATATAACTTTTCCAACACCATTCCCCCCTCCCCTTCCGAAATTGGTCATACATTAATTGCAAACACTTTCATTGACAAACACTTTCAAGGTCTTTTTACTGCATTCACAAGTTGAGGGTGTAGTTCTATTTATAGCAGCGCAATGCAAAACATCGTACTTCGGGAAACCGTATATGTACGCCTGCGGCAGTTAACGCATCGTATGACCGAGACATATATATACGCCCGCGGCAGTTAAGGGTTTAAATGCCTTAGATTTTCTTTGTATTCAAATTTTAAAATATAAGATTGGTAGATTTTTATGTTAATCTTTAAAATCTGTACTTTAACAAGATTTATTAAAATATTTGAAACTGGAAAATGTATCTATATGTGAAAGTGATAACTTTATTTTTCTAGATGAAGTTTGACAAANTATTGTGAAAATTTTTTTTTTTTGGTATTAACCCCTTACCTGCCGAGTAAAATTTACGTGATTCACTCCCCAGTGCCACCGTTTTTCGATCAAGTGCGCTTTGTTACGCGATATTTTGATGGAGTAAAAAGATGCACGCTTTGCAATTTAAAAACAGTTTACTTTCACAAGAGAAGAAAAAGGAAAGAAAGAAAAAACTAAATTTGAATTAAATAACAAAAATACAATATAAAAGATGTTAAAACTTGGCTGTTGTATGATAAATCCTGAAACCTGGTTGGACACATAAACCAACATCACATTCATTGCACTGATAGTGGGATTCTCGACGAATGTACACGGGAAGCGAAAGGAGAATAAACCCGACCTTACTCAAATAGAAACACACAAGCAATGAATATTATGATATAACTTTTCCAACACCATTCCCCCCTCCCCCTCCGAAATTGGTCATACATTAATTGCAAACACTTTCATTGGCAAACACTTTCAAGGTCTTTCTACTGCATTCACAAGTCGGGGGTGTAGTTCTATTTATAGCAGCGCAATGCAAAACATTGTACTTCGGGAAACCGTATATGTACGCCTGCGGCAGTTAACGCATCGTCTGACCGAGACGTATATATACGCCCGCGGCAGTTAAGGGTTTAAATGCCTTAGATTTTCTTTGTATTCAAATTTTAAAATATAAGATTGGTAGATTTTTATGTTAATCTTTAAAATCTGTACTTTAACAAGATTTATTAAAATATTTGAAACTGGAAAATGTATCTATATGTGAAAGTGATAACTTTATTTTTCTAGATGAAGTTTGACAAAGTCAGAATCTATTTCAAAAGGGCTCGAAAAAAATATCTTTTGCAAAATATGCATTTTTACATAATAACTGCTTTTTAATTTTTTGAAGAAAAAAAAAACTTTCTCGTTATCTTTTACACAAAGTTTTTAAAAACCCTGTCTATGGCATTAACCTAAAGGTGTTATGAATGCCTACTGATTCCTTTACAATTTTCCAGAATAAGGACAAGTTTTGTGCAGTTAAAATTTATTCCTACTATTGCAGAAACCTCCTTACAAATCTGCAATTCTATGGAAAAATTCTAACATTTTTCCACTTCACAATTTTGTATTTAAATGTGGGACTTGTTTTCAAGGTCAGAATGAATCCTACTAAGTATTATTTTTTATTTATAATAAAGTTTTTATTTTTATAGAGTCATAAGTCTTGTATTGTTGGGAGTCCTCATCCTCCTACTGCCAAACGAAGAGAAATATATACTGATGATGATGAAAATGTAAGAATTTATTTATCTTGTTTATTACATTTGTTTTCATGATTTTATAAATCTCTCAAACAAAGTGAAATTTGATTTGAGTTTTATGTGTTATTTAAAATTTTTCTTTAGGTTAAATTTGATCATTTATATAAATTTACTACTAGGTAAAAAACTAAATAATTCATCATCAGCATTGGCACGACAGCCCTTTGTGAGCCTGGGCCTTCCTCAGAAGCTTTTCCCATTCCGCCCTTCTCCCATCAATTGATTTCTAGTTCTTTACTTTTAGGATGGCAAAATCCTCATCCACTCAGTCTTTCCATCTCTTTATTCCGGTTTCCAAATCTCATTTCCTTTGATCGTTTCCTGGTCAAATTCCATGAAGGCAGTCTGGCATTTACTTCTTTGGATTTCAAAACAGGTTGGTATTTTACGGGGTGGGGTTGTTAGCCCCACGTCTAACCCCCAACCTGGAGGACCAGTCCCCTGATCTAATCCCCAGGGGCAGGGTATCCGGCTATACCCCCGAGCGCTGGGAACCTATTTTAGTCTCCTTTTACGACACACATAGGCTACGTTGGGACAATTCTTACCACCTGGTTACCACACGGGGAAACTAAATAATTAAACTTTCAAATATTTGAGTTTCTGTTAAGCTTTCTGATTTGAATTTTTGTTCTTTATTTTGAACTTGTGTGGTTTTTAATTTCATTTTTAATTGCTTGTATTTAATGATTCAAACTAACAATCATAAAAATGAATTAAAATAGCGTTTTTTTCGCGTGAATTACGTAACTATGTGCAGCACTTATGAACAGGGTATCCACGCACCTGGAAAGTCAAGGATTTCGATATCGAACAAAATTTGTCATGATTTTAACTGTTTTTTAGAAAAAATCATGGATTTAGGTCGCCAAAAAATTTTATTTTTAAAATTGAATCCCCCCCCCCCCAAATTTCNTTTTAAAAATTAAACCCCCCCCCCCCCAATTTTACAGTGTTCCGAATAATCCTCACTCAGAGTCATATTTGATTAAAATATAAAAAGTTTTTATCATGTTCTTCAATAATAATGGCGTTCTTTCAAAAAGTGAAAGAGAAAACATCATTTCTAGAGTGAAGTATCTTTTCAACTTCTGTGATTTCAGAATTATTATTATTATTAATAATTTTTTTCATTTTGTTAATTTAAAATTCTAGCTGAAGCAAACCAGTCATTAGAGAATTTTTTTTATTCCGAAATGAGAACAGGAAAATCAGGATTATTTTTTTCCTTTCTGATGAACAAGAAAAGTATCTTTAGAATATAATTCTGCGAATAAAAGAAGAAAAAAAATTTTTGCTCAGCTATTATTTTATTGCTTCAACTCTTTCTTTACTCTGTTTTTTGAAATTTAAAATCAATAAATGTGAAGATGCAGACTATAACAGTTTTGGTTATACCTATCATTTTAATTAATGTTATTATAATTGTTGTTTTATTGTCAGAGAAAATAGTAACTTCGTTAAGTCATGAAAAGTACTTAGATTTAGTCATGAATTTGAAAATCTAAAATGTAGCAGATATCCTGTACAAACCATTCTTTTAAGTAAAGGTAAATGTGAGAGAGTGTTACCGAGTGTCGTCTGATGATTAACATTTAAAAGCGTTTGTTATGTTGCTTACTGAGAAAGACAATTTAAATTCCCATTAAAAATGACATTTTTTGTGTTCAGAATGAATGAACCAGTTCAGAAATGAGGCTTCTTTCAAATGTTTTAAAGCAGCACAGTCTTACTTCTTTAGAAATATTATTTCCTCGTGGCAGAATCGAGGCGACGCAGCGACATTGTTGCAGAATGTTCCCGAGTTCTTGCAGAAAGATTTTTCCTTATGAAATAAAAAATGTTGCTTTTTTTCTGGAGAAATTTTTGAAAGAATTTTTCATCTTTTCAGAATTGTATTCAAAAGATGCCTTTCTCGCGCATCGTGGTGGGAAACAATGCTCTTGATTTTTCGCTTCTCATTTGAGAAAAATAGAAAGTAATGATGTAAAAAATTAGGTTTTCTTTTCTATAGCAATTTTTGTTCTATTTTTTCTTGCAGTTATTAGTACTGATTTTCTCATAGCTTTTAAAATCGGATATTATTTATTACAACAATTGAATCTCAAAATGAAAACAAGAATTTAGTAACCCCTTTTTATGATTTTGCCGTCGATCTTTTTTATTTTTTTTTTTTCGGTAGTTACTGCTACAGACTTCACGGTTTTTTATTTTTTTAATGTGATGATCAATTACAAAATGCGAAAAAGGAAATAATGTATTATCTCTCTGCAAAGTGCAACAACATCGCCCTTAATATTAGAATTTTAAAAATATCACATATTCAATTAAAAAAATAATTTTATTTCATTAAATTTTTTTATTTATTTATTAAATTTTTTTTTTAAATTAACGCTTCTATTACTTTAAATTAGTAAGAAATATCTTTGTTATTTTTAAATATCTTGCAGAAAGATATTAGTATTAAAGAAGTATGTCGCATAATGCCCAAAAAAATTCTGCCTCAGAGTATTATTTAAACCTGCAAAAACTTTTTCTTTAAATATAAAAATTGCAGTTTTAATGTTTCTCCTTCATTTGTACTATTAATGATTTAGAAAGGTTAAGTAAAGATTTTACTCGCTCTTATGCATTTTAGTAAGGACATTTTAGTAGTGCATTAAAAAAAAAATTTTTTTGAGAAATTTTTCGAAGGAATTAACAATATCAGGGATCTGTCTAGGTCTTTTTTAGAGGTACCTATTTTGTGAAAATTTAGACATAATTTGTGAAATTAAGAAATTTTATTAAAAAATCAACACAAAAAATATGGTAAAATAAGAAAATATTTTCAAAAATATTTAAATATCTATCGAAAATATGTTAAAAGTATTTTGTGAAACTACCGTTTTTCTTTAAATTGAATATGTGAAACTACCGTTTTTTCTAAAATTGAATTTGTGAAGCTACCGCTTAACGGCAGTAAATTTGCCTTGGACAGATCCCTGAATATATTTTTTTAGATTAGTATTTCTCAATATTTCAGAATATTATCTAAGTTATTATGCTTCTGTCACTTAAATATCAATTTTATGATTTATTTATTTGTGCTTAATTTATTTCAAAAATTGAATAATTCAAAATAATTTGAAAGTAATATTAGTACAAGAAGAAATTAAAATTAAATTTTCCAATTTATTATATACATGTGTATATTTACATACAAATAATGCATACATATCACACAGCGTCCATTAAAAAGTGCGTCATCCGACCTCCAGGTAATCCCAGTCCATCTGCAAACCACAAATGAGTGATTATTATTTCATAGTCCAAGAGAGGTTATTAGTTCATGGTCCGAGGCAAATTTTGTGGTCTCAGACCAATGAGCCACTAATAATTACAAAAGCTGTTTAGATTAATATTAAAAATTGATGACAAATAGCTGTTAAAAGTAAATATCTTTAAAAGGTAAATAATTATAGGTCAAATAACTTTTTCAATATTTCTTTTCCTCAAAATTTCTTCCTTTCTACTTTTAAAAAAAAATATGAAAAGCAATTGTGATTCTAAATTTCTGTATTTAACTGCACAAGTCAGAAAAAATTTGTAAAACGTAATTCAATTTTAATGCAGTCATAAAAATTCACAACTAATAAGTTTCATAGATGTGATTTTGTTTTATAATAAGGAATTAACTTAATTTATAAATTATACCTTACGGTTTGCTTAAGAAAATTCAATAACTTTTGTAAATTACATAAATAATTTTGTTCTTAAAAATTGATAGTTTTTCGTCAATATTGAATCTCAATATATTGAATATCAATATTGAAATTTTGTTATTATTGTATTGAATTTTGATGTTCCATTCTGTAGGAATATTCACGGTTTGCTTAAGAAAATTCAATAACTTTTGTAAACTACATAAATAATTTCGTTCATGAAAACTGATAGTTTTTCGTCAATATTGAATCTCAATACATTGAATATCAATATTGAAATTTTGTCATTATTGTATTGAATTTTGATGTTCCATTCTGTAGGAATATTCACGGTTTGCTTAAGAAAATTCAATAACTTTTGTAAGCTACATAAATAATTTCGTTCATGAAAACTGATAGTTTTTCGTCAGTATTGAATCTCAATATTGAAATTTCGTCAATGTTCTATTTAATTTTGATGTTCCATTCTGTAGGAATATTCATGGAGATCAGTTGTTCGTCCTTCCACTCAAATTAAAAATCCCCTTGCTGAATGTGTGAAGAAAAACATAATGGAATGTGATATATTGGATGATGATGATGAAGATATAAGTGAAGAAAAATTACCATCAAACATGACTAAATCTGCCAGCTTTCCTATCTCAAAAACAGAGAGCTCTGATTCCGAAAACAGCTGTGGCCTATCCCTTAGTTGGAGTATGCTTTTTGAAGATTCAGGTATAATAAATAAACACTTTACAAAACTTTGATATTTCTATTTCAGAAACATGGACATTATAATGACAGGGATCTGGAAAAATGTTGTTTAATTTAAATACCCAAAAAAATTAGGACAAATGAATTAATTTGATAAACCTACTCCTGATTGTGCTCCGGGAAAAATCCGGATTTTTTGCTAATCGCGAGAATTCCAAGGTCCAGAAGCTTTAAGAAATCATTGATTACATTTATCCATAAAAACTCTTGTATATTTCATTTAGAAATATTAAAACTAGAATTCATGCTTGACATATTTTTCATTTGTAAATATTTTTTTCTGGTAGAACAATAAATGTGATTAGAAATAAAAGTAAACTTATACATAATTATTCATTTAAATTATGCTACATGTAATTTATTTAGAATTTCGTGCTTTGAAAATATCAATCGCTTAAATTTATAAGGACATTAATTTTTTTAAATGCGTCATTAATGATTTTATTCGAAGTTTTCAGGATTTTTTAGTTTGGCTCGCAATCACCCCTGTTTTAGATATATTACAGATTTATTGTTTTTATAGATTTATTGTTTTTTTAGATTTATTGTTTTAGATTTATTATGAAGTTTTTTATAATATATGTGCTTATTTTTGATTTATGTTTGTTTAAAAGCCCTTAAAAGTGTTTTTTTTATTGGGCGTTTTTAAAAAGTGCTTAATTTTCCCTTTTCTGAAATAGGATTTTTTTTCCATTCAGAAATTTGATATTCAATAATGAGATTTTTGAGTGTTGATTTTCCGTGATGATTTTCTGTTGAGTGATGAATGAAGTAGAGTAGATTTAGTTTCTAAATTGGTACACTTTAATGATTTTTAGCAAAAATTTTTTCAATTGGATAAAAATATTTACCGGTTGGTATTACTACTCTATTTTAGGCAAGATATTTTTTTTTCTACTTATAGCAAAATTCCCACCTTACTGAAATTTAATTAAATTTTTTTCTTTCTACAAAAAATTACATTTCTAAACTTCATCATTCGTTTATTTTCCTCAATCTTGATTTAGATATGAAGCTTGACAGTAATACCTTCAAAACTGTCTTTTTGTATTAAAATCTTTACCAGCTTTATCTAATTTATACTTAGTAGAGTAATCTATAAATTGAAGCTATCTCAAGTTTTCTTACAAACTAAAAAATACCAATTATCATCGGCATTAACAAGGTGCGTAGCATTTTTAAAAAGTGCTTAAGGTGCTTATTTCCGATTTTCATTTCTTAAAAGCCCTTAAAGGTGCTTTTTTTATTGGGTGTTTTTAAATAGTGCTTCATTTTCCTTTATTCAAAATAAGATTTTTCCTTTACCATGTTGATTTTTGATATGAATTATGCAAAAAGACACAGTTCACATTGTTCTATCCAACATTTTCACAATTAATTCAAACCCAATCAATCTACTTCAGAATATATACTGTCCGTAGCGTATGAAAACACCATTCGTTTTACATGATTCAAAATTTCACGATTTTTTGACAATAGTAAATAACAATGCCAAATGTTTTTTGTTTTTTTTTCTTTTTTTGACATATAGGATAAAACTGTCAATTGTCAAAAACTTTCCAATCTTGCCTAGTTATGATATTTTTTTAAACTGCTTAAAAATATTTTTTGAGTGCTTAAAAGGTGCTCTTTTTGTTGTATAATTTCGCTACGCACCCTGATTAACATTGTTACTCAAAGTGACAGATTTTCATCTGAGGTAGCAAAAAAATATCAATCTAAGCATTGCTGCTGATGCAAGAAGCCAATTTGGTTCCTTTTCATGTAGAGCTCTCCCAGCAGCGTCCATATTGAGCAACCTCCTGTAGCAACGCTGTGTGAGAGGTCACAAAATGTATTGTACAAAAATTCTCTCGTTTAAATTACGTTTCTTTGGTCTCAAAATTGTCATAGAATCTGTTCGACAATAAATATTGACATTGTCGAAATTCATTCATTTAATTTTATTTAATAGCTATTTAGAACCAATGCAACAGTTAGAAACTATTGCCTAGTTATTGTAATTAGCTTATGTAAATCAACTCAATTTTTTTCTTTGCACAAAATTAGCTTTTACCAAATGTTATTATGTAAAATTATTTTTCGTTACTCTTATATTGACACATACCTCATCGCAAAACAAATGTAGAATTATTAATGTATTTGTCAAACCGAAATTAAACCACTGTCAAATCTTAACATCAGAATGCAAATCTAATTGTTTGTACAGTCAAACCTCGATATCTCAAACTTGAAGGGAGAGGAGAAAAAATTCGAATTATCGAAAATCGCATGTTATCGGTGGTAGAATAAAGAAAAATGCTCTTTACGTACCTTATTTACTATTCCATATTTATTCTAAAAACACTTTTTACACTTTCATTTAAAAAAAGATTCAATTGTTGTTTGCTTTAGAGATGTGTAAGAAAGTTTGTCTATAACACTTTCTAAGTGGACTATAGCTTTAAATGTCTCCTCTGACATGTTTGGCTGCCTCTCAATAAATCTCCTTACAGTGTCCACTGCAGAAAGTGCTTGTTTGTTCGTAACATTGGGCGGTAAATCTTCGACTTCCTTTTCTTCTGATAGTTCACAAGAAGCTTTCGTTTGAGCGATGATATCATCATCCCACTGACCACACACTGTTACTGCATCGTCTACGTTTACAAAGTCATGAAATTCCATGTCATCAAGTTTTATGAGTCCGGTCAATATGTTCCAATCATTTTCGGTGTAGTTTTCAGCAGAATTAACGATATTGATTGTTTGAGTACTTTCGTGATCTTTAATGAATCCAGCCTTCTTGAAGCCATTCATTATCGTAGAGAACGACATCATTCCATGCCACTGACGTTTTTATGTCCATTTTTTAAAAAAAGTTTATCATTATGAGAATTGGTTTTCTATTCTTAATTTTTTTAATTTTTTTTTTTTTGGAATAGTTTTCAATTTTCAGAAGAAAAATCTACACTATTTATGGAGAAAAAAAATTCAAGTTATCGAGGGATTAGGAAAAAAAATTTGTAAAATCAAGTTCTTTTTAACATTGAGTGTATAGGAAATTTGAAGGGAATTTTTTTTTCTTCGAGATATCGAAAAATTCGTGAAATCGAAGTTCGAGTTAGCGAGGTTCGACTGTATTAACACATAAATTTTTTAATTCAATTATCCGGTAATTTATCATCCTACTTAAGCTTTAAATGCCATGACTTTTGCAAATTTGAGTCAATTAATAGCATGAACAGAAACGTAAAAGCAATAGTATCAAATACTTAAATAGCTCTAGGAAACACTTGTCTTTTTGTGATTAACTCATCTTAAATAATCTGCTTGTTCAATCTTACATGATTAAGTATCCTTATCAGTATCCCAAATGAGACTTAAAACTAGCATGATTTTCTTATTAAAAGAATCCTTAATAAGTAAATTGGATAAATTTATTGGCCAATCTCATCAGTTAAAATGATCGTGTGGCATAATAAATAGCCATACTAAAATAAAATTTTAATCTTCAGCTTTAGGGCTGCCACACACAATTATGTACTTAAAATGATTTATTAGGGATATCTGCAGTGTGACTGAAATTCTCGGTAACTTGATTCAACTCATAAAGTAATGTAGTAGCAAGTAAAAAAGGACTCTTGGTAATGCAACTCTGCTGCATTTTGCTTGATATTCTCAATTTCAAGCTTCATTTTCCACCCTCTGAAATTGAACTGAAAACTCTCTTCATCTTTTTATGGTGGCTGATATAATCAAGAAAAGAGTTTTTTGTCGAAAACTAGTTATTTTTTGATGATAATGTAAAAGTCTTTGAAAATTACTTTGCATTTTGTTAATGTATATAGTGCTTGAAAATATTTTTTGAGTGCTTAAAAAGTACTTAAAAGGTGCTTATTTTTTGTTGAAAGATTTGGGTATGCACCCTGCTTTATCAACAATGCAGGTCCCTTCTTGCACCACTTATCTTAATGTTTACCTATGTATTTCTTTGACCTACAAGCCTAAAACTTGCTCAATAACAGGACAAATTTGTTTACAATCTAAAACTACAAATTTACATCTATAACTTTTATCAATACTACTTAATTCTTTGCTCATTGTGCATATTTTCTACACATTGTGCATATTTTCTTTACTTTCGATTTTGCCAAAAAGTTATTGCTTAATCTTGTTTTGTCTTAAAGGTAAATAATTCATAAATCAAGTAATAACCCCACAAATATCAAAGGGTGTACTTCCAGTATCTATAATAGATTAATTAACATTTCTTTTTTATCATTATGTATTTTGAAAGGATTTATTACTCCATAAGTTCTCATGACTTACAGGTATGCATTACTTTTTCGCTGTAAATTGTGGGAAGTTTACTTTCAAGAAAGTATTAACCACGTTCCCTATCAAATGATAGGTAGATGTAAAGGGATGTAAACCTAATAATTGAAACCGACTGAGGATTGAAAGCTCCTCTTCGGTATCATATCTCTAACTGTGGAGTATCTGTGCTAAAAGAAAATTTATATTCATTTATCTGTAGCTACATCTAGAATTATGTATTTATAATCAAACTTCTTTATATATTCTTTTTTATCTTTCTTGAAGTTTAAATAAATATCCTTGGAGATAGTTATTGTAGATTATTTAATTATTTCTACATCTTTGAAAATATTCTAAAAACAGTTTACGGTGTTAAACTTCGTTATTAGGATACCCTTCCCGTAAACTGACAATTTTTTTGGTCCCAAGAATGGACGGAGGTTTTACTGTACTTGGTTAATGTATAATATCTAATCTATTCTGCGCTTTTGACATCCATCGGATGCTGATCGTCTTCGAAAGGAATGCCACTATGTGTCTAATCTTAGGGTGTACGTAATTGGAATTGAAATTAGAAGAAGCTAGTTAAAGAAAGATAAAAAAATTTTAAGAGAAAAGAATAGCTACAAAAGAGTGAAACTTGAGCCGCTTAATGGCGGCAGTAATAGAGACTAACTCATTTCATCTTGCGTGGGAGTATGACTAATTATTTACATTCTTGTTTGAATTTTATTTCCCTTTACTTACCACAGTTTGTTTTTCAGAGCCTGTAAGAGCTGAACCTCATTTGAATTTGTCAAAAGGCGATGAAGACGAAAGCTTGCTGTCACCCTCCGTTCAGAATCTTCGAAAATCCAAGTATGTATGCTTATTTGTTAATGCAGGATATCTGCGGTCGTGGAAAGTCATTTTTTAGAAAATCTATTCTATTTTTTCAGTCTGTTCAGTCTATTTTTTTTAAAAAAATCATAAAAAGTCATGGATTTAGGTCTCCGAAAAATCTAATTTTTAAAATGGAATCCCCCCCCCCAATCTTATCAATTCCTAACAAAATCACCACTCAGTCATATTTTATTAGAATATAAAATGATTTTATCATATTCTTTAAAAATTATGGTGTTCTTTCAAAAAATGAAAGAAAATGCATCATTTCTAGAGAGAATTATCTTTTAAACTTCTGTGATTTAAGAATTTTTATTAATTTTTTTAATATTATCAATTTAAAATTCTAGTTGACTCAAACCAGTCATTGGCAAATTTTATTTATTCCGATATGAGAACAGAAAAATCAGGAGTATTTCTTTCCTCTCTGATGAACAAGAAAAGTATCTTTTGAATATATTTCTGCAGAAAAAAAAGAGGAAGAAAAATTATTTCCTTTTGTATTTTTTCAGCTATTTTATTGTTTCTACTCTTCCTTTACTCTGTTTTTTAAATTAAGAATCTATAAATATGAAGAAGCGGAGTATAACAGTTTTGATTAATGTAATCATTTCAATTAATGTTATTATAATGCTTTTTTAATTTTATTGTTGCATTTTTGTCGGAGAAAATAGTAACTTCGTTAAATCATGAAAAGTCATGAATTTGAAAATCTAAAATATAGCAAATACCCTGTAATGTCTATAATGAGTTTTGTCGTGTTAGCTTTATGCCTTTAAAGCACTTGAAAGACTGCATCCAAAAACATGATAAAAAGGATAGAAATTTCTCGTAACAAACCACATGGAAATTTTATCAAATTTCTTTTTATTGCTTGACAAATAACTAGAGTTTCTAAAAACTCTTTGAAACACTTTGATACAAAAAATTTTTTCCCATCATTAGTAAGCAACGAACTGTTCTGAGTTTTACCACTGTTTCATTGTGTTGTTGTCGTCAGCCATCAAGGCAGAGGTGGCGCCGTCTCTGGCCGAGAATTCGACTTCTGCCGCACCCATACATCACACCCATTTATAGGGTGGACCCATTCTTTCTCCACACATATCGTAATTTCGACCTGAACCAGAGAACAAAAAGTCTCCAATTCAGTAGCCCCAGAGGTATAATTTGTTTTGGAAACATGGAGGACTTTGTGACCCGACAGATTTAGCGTGCAACAGTCAACTGTTTCTTTGTAAGAAATATTTATCGAATGTGGATTTATTTATATTTTATTGAAAATCAATATTCTGTTGTGTCCTTATGATGAGTGTGTGGGGATTGCATATATTAACTGTTTTACCAAATTAATTATTTTAAAATAATATTCCACATTTCTATTTTATAAAATGCTTTCTTAAAAAGGTGTGAATATTGTGTACAATAATTCCTTTATACTTTGGAAGCTCAAGATCTCCAGAACTTCCTTATTTCTGAGTCCTTTTTTTCTACTAACAGGTTCTTACTTTTAAAAAAAAAGGAGTTTTCCATCTTTTTATCTATTTACACATTCATAATTCCTCTGTCAATTGATACAGAAAACAAAGAATTTTATTCAAACAATTAAGCCTTTTAATTATCATTTATCCAAACATCTGCATCAAGGAAAAGCAACATTGTAATTTATTTTCAGAATTTTTCTCCTTTAGCAATTAGGGATAAAATAAATTTATACATACAGTCAAACCTCATTAACATGAAATATCGCTCTAACTAAAATTCATGTTTGGTCCCTCTAGTAAGCATTCAATTATTATTATTATATTTTAATTGTTAAGCATGAAATTTTCAAGTTGATGATCGCTTCGCGAGCAAGGTAACGAGGCACAGCTCAGTTAATAAGCATGTGACTAAAGTGCCATTTTGAAGAATGTTATTCCTCGTTGATAGAAGTGGCAAATGGACAAATAAATAAAATAGTTAAAATTTTTAAGTTTATTTGAATTTGTTTGGTACATAATAATATTCTTTACATGCATTAATATAGTATATAATATGTAGTAATATTATGTCATAAATTTTTTCATGATGTATCGGATAAGATGAAATCCAGTTAACATGAAATAATTCTGACAGTCCCGTCAATTTCGCGTTACTGAGGTTTGACTCCTTCGGATGGCATATTACTCAGGTGCATTTTAACATATATTCCATCTCTTTTCTACAATGCATGATGATTATAGTGTATGTGAGTAGAAAATTAATTCTAGTTTTCAACAAAGAAGTAGCCATAATGAATAATATTGCTTATTTATATTAGATTTGTTTTGTTAAGAAACACATATTTAATACAACATAATTAAGAAAATTCATCATCATAGTTGGCCAGCCAGCCCAATGTGTGCCAATGCCTTCCTCTGAAAATTTCTCCATAATGCCATCTGATTTATCTAAAAAGCAATATCTTTTTTATTGTATTGTCATTACTCATTCGAATCACTTGGGCCATCCAATTCATTCTATTTATTTTTATGTATTGATAATATGTAATTAATAATATATATAAAGTTCTAAATGTAGAGAACACAAGGGAAAAATTATAGAACAATGAAAAATGGGGGGAAAGAATAATAAAAATAACAAAAAATAGGAAAAAAGGACAAAAAAATTTTAAAAAATCCGGAAAATAAAAGACATAATCTTTTCATCAGCTCACACGATTATATCCACAAAAATGTATCTTTTATTTTCCGGATTTTTTTTTAAAATTTTGTCCTTTTTTCCGGTTTTTTGTTATTTTTATTATTATTTTTCTTTTTTTTCCCCCATTTTTCATTGTTTTGTAATTTTCCCTTGTTTTCTCTACATTTTGAACTTATTTTATGAGTTCTATTTACTTGCAGCTTATGATCAATAAATAAAACTTATTGTTTTTCTCAATTTTCTTCGTGTTTTATTGTTTTTACTTATTATGCTATATATATATAACCTGAACNTATATATATATATATATATATATATATATATACAACAACTGTGCGCTTGTTATTCTCTTTTAGTTATTACGAAGCACCACTTTCACCAAGTGCGTATCGAAATTACTTATCTTATCGAAGGTAAGTTTTCCATGAAATCACAGTTAAACTGAAATGTATCCTGGAGTGTCATTTTTAATTCATTTCTATTTTTTCAGCAATCACTTGGATCCTAGTGTACCACCATCACCTCCTGTTGAGCAAGAAGATTTTGCCAAAAAGTATTTATTTATTTTTACTTCAATAACTCTAGTTCTCCAAAATTAAAATTTACTTCTAGTGTGATAACACCTTATTAATGAGGCATTGTTGTCTTCTCTCCTTTACTTACAAGGGAGATTAGGGATTAATTTGCTAATTAATTAATTAGCAAATTAATTAATTTGCAATTACATACTCCAATTGATTTGGAAAAAAAAGAAGGGAAAAAATGTGATGCAAATTTTTTTTTAAAAATTAGCCTGACAGGTTTTTCTGAAAAACTGCAGCTATATAAAATATTTGAAATCAATTTTGAGAATAAATATGCATTATATAGTAGGTGAAAGTACCACAAAATTAGTTGGAGTATGAGATAATTACACTAACTAATAGTCTGCATTGAAGTAATAAAATACGGATTTTTCTATATATTGAATTATTTTTTATCTCTCATAGGACCTTCTATAGGCCGAAACGGATGTTGCCTCCTAAAATTGATCCACATAAGGCATATATCCCACCAGTTGATTTCAAAATGGGCGAGTCACACTTCCCTAGTCTTCCTTGTTAGACTTCGTTTTATTGTTTTTTGTTTGGACCTAACTATTCTGATATTTTTCACAGTCAGCATAAAATTTTGCAACCTTAACTAAGATTGAAAATCTGAAAGAATTTTTAGGGCTTTATTTTACACTAACTGAAAACTTACAGACAACTTCTCTGTGTTGAAAAAAAAAATTGTTTTTGATAAGTGACATCAAGCACATAAATGTTCCATACAATATTTTTTTGAAGGGTTTTATTAAAATGCATACGTTTTTCTAGCAAAAGCAATTCTATAACCAATGGTTGGAATCTGACTTTTTATTTTTGTTTCTTTTTTTTATTTGTACCTATATCAGTCTATTTTATGAGAAATAATTGAAAGAAATTGTTAATTTATATCCCTTCATAATTTTGGTAATTTCTTAATGTTTTAAATTAAAATTATCCCTTCCATTATTTTATTCCATTCACAAGGTTATGTATTGGAAGAAAATTTTAGTTTCTTCCTTGTCAAATAATGTATTTTGATACGAAATGAGAAAAGACAATGACTAATAATTAAAAAATAAAAATGTTGAATCTATACAAGTGCAAATATGGTTTAAAATGAATTTAATTTTATTAAATTTCGTGTTTATCAGTCCTCTTGATCACTGCAACAGGGTTGCCACAGGCGACTAAAATGCAACTATTTTATGCCTGAAAAGGCTAAAAAAAAAAAGCAACTATTTTCCTTAAAAGGAGACTTTTCTGTGCTCCTAGTGCTGTTTTTTAACATAAATTTAGTTGAAGGCCCACAGAATCTTCTGAACACACTGAATTTTTTAAAAAAAAGAGAGAAAAATGTGGACAATTTTGAATTACAAATTTACAACTTTTTAATTCGTTCAATTTGCACAGATTCCATTGTAAGCCTATTTAGTTTCTTGATTGCCTTTTCAGTGGTTATTGCTACAAAATTCCGCATGATTTTTAATAAAACAATTTTTAATACAATATCACAATGCTTGAATTTCACATTTGAGATATCACTTTCATAATATATATATATATTTACTAAATCAATTATTGATAAAAGAGAACAATTTTTAGAAAAATTATGTTTTTTTATAATAAAAAAGTGTTTTTTTTTAATTCTAGTAATTAAAAGTATTTAATTTTCTGCAAATATAAAAAAAATTTTTATACAAAAATTTAGTGCTAGAGCACTAATGTTTGTATGAAAATTATCATATTTGCAGAAACTTGACTAAATGGATCATGGTATATGACAATTTAGTTATTTAATAAAATTTTAGTCAATTTTTGTTAGTATTTAGGCAACTATTTTCATAGTTTTCAGCAACTATTTTCATGCTTTAGGCTACTAAAAGCAACCAATCAAATCAAACCTTTCAAAACATATAAAAATAATTTAGTGCAATCATAATAACTCTGATAACAAGCTCATTTAGAAGCATGTTTATTGATTATAAAATTAGATGCATATGAAATTTAATAATCAATTTTCTGGACAATGAAAAACATTTTGCTATATGTTCATTTACCTGTACACTTCTTTGCATTTGCTAAACATTTTCTCCGTAGGTTTGTGGAGAATAATAGCGCTGTTTTGCTATATGTTTATTTGTTTGTACACTTCTTTGCATTTACTAAACATTTTCTCCGTAGGTTTGTGGAGAATAATAGCGCTGTTTTGCTATATGTTTATTTACCTGTACACTTCTTTGCATTTACTAAACATTTTCTCCATAGGTTTGTGGAAAATAATAGCGCTGCTGAATCTATCCGACAACTTACGAAAAAGATACACAGTGAGTGGGAATGTGTTATTGTCAATTAAAAAAGAATTTTTTTTTTTATATAAGTATATTTTTATAAATCATCATTTTCTTTCAGGTATTAAGAAGAGAATCAGGAAATACGAAGAAAAATTTGAAGCAGAATTTGGTTTTAAAGTATGTGTTTTGCTTTTTTTTTTAAATGTTCATATAAAATTGTTTTTATCAATTTGTAACATTGTTTTACTCTCCCAGCCTTCTCATGCGGAAAAGTCTAACAACTCTGAAGCTAGAAAGATGTTAAATGATTTGTATAAAGCTAGAAAAGAACTCAAAGGTAAGCATCTCTATATACAGGATATCCGCGCACCTGGAAAGTCATACATTTCGGTATTGAACAAAATTTGTCATAAAATGTCATAATTTTAACCATTTTTTTTTTAAAAAAATCATGGAGAGTCATGAATTTAGGTCACCAAAGAATTTTATTTTTAAAATTGATTGGTGTTCCAAATATCTGAATTTGTAACAAAATCCCCACTCAGAGTCATATTTTATTAAAATATAAAAAGTTTTTATCATGTTCTTTCAAAAAATGAAAGAAAAAACATTTCTAGATCGAAGTATCTTTTAAACTTCTGTGATTTCAGAGTGTGAAATGCAGAGTATAACAGTTTTTGGTTATACCTATATTTTCAATTAATGTTATTGTTTAGTTTTAAAATTTACCATTTATTAATATTTCATTAGTTTTCAATTTGAATTTAGTGCCTTAAAACTTAATTGTAACTTTTAAAAAGATAGCAACATTAATTCAGAGATATCAGCGCAATTTTTGTAGGAGTCTGTGCAGTAGTAAGTTTCATTTCGAACCTTTACTTTGTTTTTTGCCACGGCGTGAATATATATACAAATTCGATGTGATGTACATGGTTATAATATTTGTTTTTTTCCGCGACCCAGAATATATTACGATGATGCATTCAACATTGTTATTTATCGATAGCTATTAGCTATATTGATTTCAAAGTTAGTCATTTTTTATGTTTTGTTGTCATTAGTTGTTCTGAACTGTCTGAAGTCGTTTTCATGTTTAATTAACTATATAATTTGCTGCTATCTTATTAACAACTTGATTACTGTTAAAAATTTAATTTAAGTTTATTTTTGTGAAGTCAATTAGTATCCAGTATTGTTTATCGTTTAATATATTATTAAGCAGAATAAAATGTTCTTAAGATTCTTAATTTGTCAAGGTTTAAATTTTACAATATATTTTTTTCTTTCTCTTTTCTATTTTGGTCATTAATTTTACCTGGTCCGTCATTTACAATTCACACATACAGTTATTATAATGCTTTTTAAATTATTATTCTGTTTTTGTCGGAGAAAATAGTAACTTCATTAAGTCGTGAAAAGTTCTTGGAATTAGTCATGAATTTGAAAATCTAAAATGTAGCAGATACCCTGTCTATACAGTCAGACTTCTATTTAATGAACTTCCATTTTGCAAATTTCTCTATTTTACAATTTTTTTCAAGGAACCAAGAACATTTTGGAAATTTCTTTGCAAAATAACTTCCAAATAGCAAAGTGAATTTTCTATTTAAGGAACTTTTCTTTGAGGTTCACTTTCCTTATTTCCCCAAATATTTTAGAACATTTCAAACTTGTAAACCCATTTTATGGAATAAATAANTTTTTTTCAAGGAACCAAGAACATTTTGGAAATTTCTTTGCAAAATAACTTCCAAATAGCGAAGTGAATTTTCTATTTAAGGAACTTTTCTTTGAGGTTCACTTTCCTTATTTCTCCAAATATTTTAGAACATTTCAAACTTGTAAACCCATTTTATGGAATAAATAACCTTAAATTGATTTTCGAAGCCACTTAACTTTTAGAGAAGGCAGAAAAATCCCTTTCCCATTTTGTTTGCATTTTAAATGAAAAACTCAAACAAAATTAACGGGTTTTATCATTAGCTATTAAACTTAAAAACGCATGAGTTAATGTATGTTTAAAATTACTTTTATAATAAATGCAGTCATAATTTTATACATTAAATTTAGCTTTTTTTAGTTGAAAATGCATGTAGCATGATAGTGTAACACTGGATATTGTTTTGCTGTATTCTTGCTTTCCTTGCAGATTTCTTTTATAGTTAAGATTTATTAAATAAAAATAGTAGATACTAATTTACGCGATAAAGGTGTACCAATTGCTATCTTTATTATGTCTAGTGTCTATGAATTTAAAAACCTGTTTTGTGTTGTTTAAGTATTTCATAAGGTGATTTTCTATTTAACGAATTTTCCATATAATGAACTTATTATAGGGATTAAGCGACTTTGTTAAATAGAGGTCCGACTGTATTTGTTTCATAAAATCATGTTCTAATGAATGTACTAAAAAAAAAGTAAAACATTTCAGCTTTGAAAGAGGAGACACATTTGGAACATGTTGGTTGGCATGCCGCAAATCAATATCCTCCTCACATACTGGAAGACACCACCAATCAGTTCTCCCCTCTCTCCAGGGGTGGTTCAAAAGTGGAAGACTATTTTGGCCTTGCTTGCAGGACTCTCGCTGATGACCGAAAACTAGCCAACAGACCTGAATCTTTGGATGTAAGCAACATTTTCATCACTTTGTGACTATATTTAACACTAAACATACCAACACTTAATATATATACCTATTTCTACTATAGCCGGTCAAATGACCGGACTTTGTTTCTTCATTGAATGTATGAAATATGGATGTTAGGAAGGAATTTAACTAAAAAAATCTTGATTAGAATGAAACAAAATTGTATATTGCCAATTTTTATGTATTACAAACACAAAGAATACAAATTTTTAATTCATTGCTTAATGCATTTTTTCATATGTTTCCCCGTTTATGTAAAAAAAAAAAAAAACATTTAACTTATCTGAACTGTTAAAAAAAACCTATGGTTAGATTCGAATTCTTTAAATATTTTAATGTCAATTGAGAGAAAAAAAAACAAAAGTTAAAGAAATTTATCTAGTTTTTTTTTCCCACAGAGTTTGCAACAAGAAATTTGACAATTTTGCATTTGTATTATTTATTTCTTGATACTGAATATCTCTTAAAATAAGAATGCTAATTCAAAACGAACATCATTTAAACATTTGACTTTAGATATTGACTTAAAGAAAGTATAATCAGTGATTTTTATAAAGTACACTGTTCAGATTAAATATAGTATATATTGAAGTTTATATTGAAGTGTTGAATAGTTTATATTGAAGTGTAAATTAATATCAATATTATTGTATATTCGCTTGGAATTATTTTCTTTTGCTTAATGAAAATATATTGAGCAATACTTATCCTACGTTTTTTCATCAATAACTCATTAAAAAAAACAATATATGCTCCGCATCTATCTTAATTTTTTTTTAAATTATGTACCAAAATATAAAAAATAAATAACAAGATCTTGCTAAGTTGTTAGAATGAATTTAGTCTAATTATTTTTTCAAGATGATTCATTAAATAGATAACATTTTAAATAAAATATTTTATAATCGTGACACTTTTCTGGTAAACATCCAACACTTAATGAGAGGGGGGGGGAAACATGCTGACCTGGAAAGTTTTTATTTGGAAAAATCAGGGAAATTTGAAACCTGTTTTGAGTAGCCAGTCTGACTACAGATAAAATTTTGTTTAACAAAATTTGAGACATTTTGCATTTATTCAAGAAAATTTTGTAAAATTATTAGTGAGTGAGTGCTTAAAGTTCAAAAGCAGCATTTTTAATATAAAGTATTACGTAAAATTTATTGCTATAATTTATTTTTATAATGTAAATAAAATGCTGAAATTGAAAGGCAATTTATCTAGTTAGAAAATAATCTATTCTACTTGAAGCATTCTGTAATTTTATTGTGCTTCATATTTTCTGCTCAATTGTTCAGTTCTGCTCAATTGTTTTTATTTCGTATAAATTATTCTTATATAGTTCTTAAAAACTCATTAGAACAAAATAACTATCGAACGATCATTGCATCAGGGTTGCCACAGACTACTAAAATGCAACTAATTGCTACTATTTTCGGCCTTAGGCAACTTTTTTTGCCTGAAAAGTCTAAATAAACAACTATTTTCAGGAGCAGGCGACAATTAGGAGACTTTTTTACTTTTAGCGAAGTTTTTTCTCAAAAATGAACGTTACTTTTCAGAACTTTAATAAAGGAAAGCAAACTTTTATACAATCATTTATGTCCAAAAAGCGAAAAATTTAAATTTCCATTAGATTTAATAAAGTATGTTATTTTTTCTCTCTGAGGGGCAGTTTTGTTATTTTTAATTGTTTTTTCCTGCTATTAACATTCATATTTTGTTGTAATTCAACTTTTATTTAGGTACCTATATATACCTTTTATATTTGTACAAAAAATTTTTTGAATTGGAGCATAGTATTTGACAATTAAGCTATAATTTTAGTTATTTGACTGCTATTTTCATGCTTGAGGCTACTAAAAGCAACTATTTTTGTTCATTTTTTACTGTGGCAACCCTGTTACATATGATAATCTACTATCGACAGAGAGAGAGATAAATTCAAACTTGATGGGGGTTTTTTTAATTTAAATATATTTTATTGAAGAAGTATATTTATATATTCGACTGTACAATTATTATAATCGATAATAACCATATTAATATTATTCTAATGGTTTGAAAAAGTGGAATGATGCAATACCAAGTATAATATTTACGATTAACAAATAAAAAAATAATGAAATTACCTATCAAAGTAAGTGTTCTGAAAATGCTTTTCTATGAAGATTCAATATTGGTTTAAAATAAACAGCATCCAGTTTGTTAATTTTTTTTTGTAAGTAATTAACTTTAACATCTGGTCTTTTTGCTTATTCGTTTTAGATAATATTAAGATCAATTTACCTTTTTTTTGTGAAAATTTAGACATAATTTGTAAAAATTAAAAATTATATTAAAAAATCAACATGAAAATATGATAAAATTAGAAAGTATTTTACAAAATTGTCACTACAAATAAAAAATATTTATGACTTGTAAATTTCTGTACATATTTTTCCCATATGTTCAAAAACATTTTGCTATTGTAAAATTTCGGGCTGAAAATTGTATCCAAATTTAAAAATCATATATTTAACAGGACCAAAAGTTATCTTCACTATGAAATCATTTTCGACTGGGCCACAGAGAAAAAAATGTTCCATTAAAAAATAAATGTCTATTGGAATAAATTTAGAATAATGTTTAAAATGATAGTTCGAATTTCGACTGCCTGTAAACTTTAGTGGGACAGCCTCGCTGTCCCACTAAAACTGTGCAAAACTTTTAAAAAACTGTGCAAAAAAAACCTCGCTATAATATGACGTAAGCGACCAATTCAGGCGTCTGTCTAGGTTTTCCTGAGAGGTACCTATTTTGTGACAACTCAGACATAATTTGTGAAAAATTAAATATTATATTTAAAAATCAGCACAAAAATATGGATTTATCATTTCTTAAGGGATAAAAAAATAAAATTTTAAGAAAAAGTATTTTGTGAAACTACTGTTTTTCCTAGAGTTGAATTTGTGAAAGTACCGCTAAACGGTAGTAAATTCGGCCTGGACAGACCCCTGAGATGAAACTCCGCTAATAAACTGGCATGTGGTTTTATATTCACACAGCCACTATTTTAATAGAACAGTTCTATTAAAAGTAGTATCATTATGAAATTGTTGCTATGATTTAAAAGCATACATTCTTCCTGAAGCGCTCAACAAATACACCAAAAATTATGGAATTTACCTTATCACTCTTCCTTGCCTAAGTCCATAAGTCTAAGTTCCTTCCATAAGTCTCTGTCACGAAAGACAGGAAGAAGAAAAAAATAGCACACTATCAAATTTATTATTATTAGTCTAAATTATGTAATTATATTTAACTTAAAAAATATTATTTTGTATTAATAACAGATGGAGAAAATGAAAATAATGTTAAGTTGAATCTATGTAAATATTTTGGTTTTAATTCTTCATTCGAATTATAACTGAATCAGTTACTATGCATATTTCTCATACATAGAATATTCATACTTTCATTCATACATATTCATTTCATACAATATTCATTTCATGCATAAAATGTTCTCTTATGTATATCTTTGAAATAGAGATTTGTGCTATTTTAAATAGAGACTTTCGTAAGAAAGACTCAGAAGTTCTGGGTTTCAGAGTCTAATGGAATCACTGACTAAAGCGGAAACTCTTTATTGTTGCACTGTGTATTTTCATCATTAGCATTGGCACCACAGCCCTTTGTGAGCCTGGGCTTTCCTCAGAAGCTTTAATGTTCCTGAAATGGCTCTCATAATGAGAGAATATTTTTAGTTTTTTTCCCGGAATCAATAAAATTAAGAGTAGTAAGTATCTGCTCACCTGGAAAGTCATGAATACCGATATGGAACAAAATTTGTCATGAATATCCGTATTGAACAAAAATTTGTCATGACTATCGGTATTGAACAAAATTTGTCATGAAATACCATGATTTTAACGATTTTTTTAAAAAATCATGGGAAGTCATGCATTTAGGTCCCCGAAAAATCTAATTTTTAAAATGGAATTTACCCTCCCTAATTTCATGGTGTTCCGAATATCTGAATTTGTAATAAAATCCCCACTCACAGTCATATTTTATTAAAATATAAAATGTTCTTTAAAAATTATAGTGTTTATTCAAAAAATAAAGGAAAAAACATTTCTAGAACGAATTATCTTTTAAACTTCTGTGATTTCAGAATTTTTATGTTTTTATTTTATCCATTTAAAATTCTAGTTGTAGCTAGCCAGCCATTGGCGAAATTTTTTTATTCGGAAATCAGAACAGAAAAGTCAAGAGTATTTCTTTCCTTTCTGAGGAACAAGAGAAGCATCTTTAGAATATAATTCTGCAGGGGGGGGGGGATTGCTTTTGTATTTTTTTCAGCTATTTTATTGCTTCAACTCTTTCTTTACTCTGTTTTTCAAATTTAAAATCTATAAATATGAAAATGCAGACTATAAAGTTTTGGCTATACTTATCATTTCTAAAACTAAACTCAGTGGCGAGACAGCCCATAGAGGGCCAAGGCCTACTGTGCCCATCTCAGTTTTCTTGTCTTTGGGCTCTGGGGTGCAAGAGCAAATGTTTCGGTCAGGTGGTCAGCCGAACGCAGAGCCCCCAGTGTTCAGTTCCCGAGTACGCTCGGTACTCGTGTATCGACCCACCGAAGGGACGAATGGCTGAGTCGAGCTTGCCCGGCCCAAAGGTCGGACCCGTGACCTGTGGCACAGGAGCGTGAAACGCTACCATCGGGCGTCATACTTATCATTTCAATTCATGGAATTATAATGATTTTTTAAAAATTTATTGTTGTGTTTTTGTTGGAGAAAATAGTAACTGCGTTAAGTCATGGAATGAGTCATGAATTTGAAATTGTGAAATGTAGCAGATACTAAGTAATTGTTTATTGTATATAATTGTTTATTGTAAGTAATTGTTTGCTGTATATAGTTGTTTATTGTAAGTAATTGTTTATTGTATATAATTGTTTTATTGTATATAATTGTTTTATTGTATGTAATTGTTTATTGTATGTAATTGTTTATTGTAAGTAATTGTTTTATTGTATGTAACAGGACATGACTACAGATCAGGTGGTGGATGAGAAAGTGGCCATTCAAAAAGCCTTACTGAACTTGGAAGAGAAAATGAATGGCAAGCCAGTGACTAAAGAGCAGAAGGACACCTGCAGGCCATTGTACGACCGCTACAGATTTGTGAAAAGGCTCCTCGTCCGATCCTTCCCTGGATCGTCCTCTGCTATTAAAAACAAAGATTTGTGTTCTGAACTTCAACCCATACTGGAACATGAAACCATGAATTTCCCTTCATGCTTCAACAATAATGCTGTCTTGGTATGTCCCTTCAATAACTTTTAATCACAACTAACAGAGGTGATTGTGCTCCAGAAAAAATCCGGATTTTTCCCTAATTGCGCTCCAGAAATCTTAGGTCCAGAAGTTTCAAAAAATCATCGATCACATTTATGTATTAAAATTCTTGTATGTTTTATTTAAGAATATTAGAACTAGGCCATGGCACAGAGTAGATCACGATAGCAAAAACCTTTTGGGACAGCCTTGGCATGTCATAGGCTGTAGTGCCCAAGAAGAAGAAGAACTAGAATTTATACTTGACATCTTTCATTTGCAATTATTTTTTCTGGTAGAGTAATAAGTGTGATAAGAGATAAAAATAAACTTATGCATAATTATTCATTTAAATTATGCTGTATATAATTTATTTAGAGTTCAATGTTTTGAAAAGATCAATGATTTGAAGTTTTAAAGACATTATGCGTATTTAATGATTTTACTCAAGAAATTTTCCGGATTTTTCTGTTAGACTCTCAATCATCCCTGAACTCAATTCAGACAATATTTTAAGTACCCTATATTTTTTATTTACCTATGGCCTGTGGGCCACATGCGACCCACGGGAACCTCTGAAAGCAATAAAAAAATTTCTTTTAATTTTGTTTTTTTTTTAAACATTATAAATTTTCTTTTATTAAAATATTTAATTCAAATTTATTTTACTCTATAAAGTGCTTTTTCCCCCCACTTTTTTTCTGTAAGCTTCTTTTTTGTTAGAATTTATATCCTACTCCAATATATATATATATATACAGGGGTCTTTCCAGGCAAAATTTACTATTGTGTAGCGGTACCTTCACAAATTCAACTTATATAAAAATGGTAGTTTCACGAAATACTTTTTCTTCAAATTTTATTTTTGTGTCTCGTAAGAAACTATAAATCCATATTTTTACTGCATTCTTGTGTTGATTTTTTAATATAATTTTTTATTTACTCAAATTATGCCTAAATTTTCGCAAAATAGGTACCTCAGAAAAACCTAGACAGACCCCTGATATANTGCGAGGTAAGCGTCTTTTGTTAAAACAAAATGTTATCTAAAAGAAAAAACGAGAACTATGATCTCGCTCCAAAGAAGAAACGATTATTTCTTCTTCATAGGATTCGAAATATTTCTTCTTGATTATATTATATAGATTATTATTTTGATTAGTAAAATTTCTTAAGATGGGCCAGTTTTAAATTCACCCCATCATAATCTACGATCGAAACTTGACTAAATTTATCGGTTTTTCTGAAATTAACAATGGAATTGAATTATAGTAATATTAGGGGCCCATATTGGAATTTCCGAAAGAGATCCAAAAATCGGCATTTCGTCAGTCCCGTGAGTGTCGGATTTAGGGTCCTATTACTTCCTTTTCTGTGCGCTCAAATTACAATTGCCGATGTTCTGCAGCAGATCGCGATACGGGCGAATATTTCGTCGACTTCGTTATTAATTTTTTTTTTAATAGTCTTTCTCTCAGAAAATTATTTCATCTTAAATAACTTTCCTTGAAAAATTTTTTTGCTACTAAAAAATATTTCGTCGGAAGCGCCGCATGTAGGAAAAAAACAACTTTTTTTTCGAAGGCGCCGCGGCGCTTCCGCCGAAAAATAAGGTATATATATATATATATATATTAGTTTTTTTAGTTTTAAATAAATTGAAATAATTAAAAGTATTTAATTATTTACAAATATGTTAAATTTACTGTTAAAAATATTTGGTGCTAACATGACAAAATATATGCTCTTCGTTAATCTTCGTGCTGTGCAAGTTGCTTTTCACATAAAAAAGTTGTGCACCCCTAAGTTACAGAATCAAACACAAAAAGGTACTTTCATTCTTTTAAGATTTCTAACCTCTAAAATATGGGGGGGGGTAGCTGCAGTCTGGGAAATAGATTGAAAGTTTGGGCCCCTCAATGTTGATTTTACTTTTTCGCCATATCTTGAAAACGTTTTTATAGCATTGAAACATTTCCGTGCACAATCGTGAAATTCATTTATCCAAAGATAATTTCATGAAAGAAAAAAAACTTTAAGCTAATATTTATTAATTTTTTAAATATATTTAATAATAGTCCAAAAAAAATTTCAATTGTTAAGGTGTACAATTTTTTTAAATAATTTTAAGTGTTGTAATTTTATATGTCAAAATTTGGGTGCAATCGGTTGATTAGTTCCTGAAAAATCTAATTTAAAAAAAGTTGTATTTGTTTTGCTCACTGTACATACATACTTTAAGAAATGTGATTTAATCACAACATAAGATGAAGAGGAAAGAATGGATGTTATTAATTTTTCACAAAAAGGATTATTCATATGCCATCTGTTCATGATATCTGCACACCTGGAAAGTCATTGAATACCATAGAAGGTCATGGATTTCGACCTTGATCAATAGTTGTCATGGAATTAAAAATCATACGTCACGATTTACATTCACGTGATTTAAAAATTACACATCACGATCAACATTTGTGCAATTTAAGAAAATCATGCATCGTTATCCATATTTGTCCGATTTAAAATCCGTGCATCGCGGCTTGTATTTACATGATTTAAAAATCCAAAATAGTGATCCACATTCTTGTGATTTAAGACAATCACTCGTCATTCACAGTTCTGTGATTTAAAAAATTGCACAACCTGATCTGTATTTGAGCTATTTAAAAATTACAAATTGCTATTTCGCATTTCTGCCACTTAAAAATTTCACACATCATAGTGCAATTTAAAAATTACGCATTGCAATCCCATTTTTGTGCGATTTTAAAAAAAAGCACTCAACATGTCACAAATTTGTGTGATTTAAAAATCACATCGCTATTTTTAATCAATATTTACAAATTACATAACTTGATTTATATTCACATGATCTAAGTACCATGTATAGTAATTTGTACGCATGCAAATTAAAATGTCGCACATTGTGATACTATTTAAAAATTCCTCATCAAAATGCGATTTAGAAATCACTCATCACGATTTTTTACATAAATAATTGAGTAGGGGAACATCAAATATTTAAAACAACAAAACTTTTACTAAAACTAGTTTTTGACAATGTTTATTTTGGTATAAAAAAAAAATTTTAAGGCACTATTTTTTTCGTTTAGGATTATAAATGTCTTTTTTTTTCTTTTAATTTCAGTTGTATTTTAATGTATGTTCAGTAAATGTTTTACCTCAATTTTCCTGGTTTGAAATTGAAGCTGGGTTTAATTTTGGACTATGTCAACCAACATCTATCATAAGGTACCTTAAGATAGAATCGAGTTAACATGTCATATATATACTAGTGATATGGTATTTATAGTGGTAGTTATGCCACACTACTCCCCTTCCAGAATTTTATCTGTGATAGAATTCGATGAACGAATACCACTAGATGATTCATGCTGTTTTATTTATTTATATCAATTTGTCTCATATATTTTATAGCATTTCGCTCATTACTTTTTTTTCTCCAATATTGTTTATTGACCGGGAGACTTCATTAATTCACCAGATTTTGTTTTTTTTCTTTGAGCAGTATGTTTTTAAGCAAATCAACTGTACTTTAATTTTGGACTATGTCCATGCCTGCCAACTGTCCGGAATTTTTCGGATTTGTTCCTAATTTTTAAATCAAATTTGAAAATCTGATATTTTTATAAAGAAGCCGAATTTTCATAAATTGCAGTATTTTTACTTTTAAATCAATCCCTTGTTCTGGTGGCTGCAATCACGCTTCCTGTGATTATTGTGCAGAAGTAATTTTTAGTAGCTTTTTATTGGAAAGTACTATTCCAATAGCCGTTGCTCATCATTTCACTCAATTGAATCTTAAACAACTATTATTATGTTTTAAAAGCCGTATTGTAGTATTTAAGCATTTCCATCAGAAATATTTGTTTATGATGTAGTTTAATATTTACCTGTGTCTTATAATTTAAGGAATAATAATTATATATTAATAGGTAATGGTTGTTTTTAAACTATTATCCCAGTATTCCTAATTATGAAATTATAATTTTTAGTGTTTATAATTTTTTTTTACTAATTTACATAAGGTATTTAAATATGTGTCGTCTGTTAATGTTATTATTTAATAGTTTAATTTTTGTCTTACTCTCGTGTGCACAGGCAGAAGATGATGTTCCTAGTGAATCTACAGTAACAAGTGTGAAAATGGAAGAAGTTAGTCCTGAAAAAAGTGAAGTTAAGGAAGAAGAACCAAAAAGTTCCAATTTTCTGGCTATGAAATATGATAATTCCAGCTTGCATGAATTACCTTTGTAAGTACCTTTTATTTACGAGACTTTTGTTTTCAAAGCTCTTTCCAAATAAAACACACATGGTGCATAGAGTTTTTAAAAAGTTCTTAAAGATGCTTTTAAAAAGTGCTTAATTTTCCTTTTCCAAAAAGAGATTATTTTTTTCTTTACCATATCGATTTTTGCCACATATTATTCATACCTGCCAAGTCTCCTGTTTTCTAACGAAGACTCCTGCAATCTACGACTATCTCCTGTTTACCTGTATATTCTCAAATTTTTTCCGTATTTGTTGAAGAAATTAAAAAAACAAAAATTTTGATAAAATATCCATTAATGGCAAAAAATGCTTCTGTTATTCCTCACCAGATGGTGCTATTGCAAGTACTGCAGTATTTTGGGTGTTAATTAGTCTAGCCGAGATGGCTCGGAGAATTGAGCATTCGCCTTCCAGTGAGGTGAACCCAGGTTTGAATCCCAGCGATGACTGGTCGATACGAATTCCGCATCCAGCTTGTATCGACTACAGTGATGATGTTAAATATCCTTAGTGGTTGACGGATCACGGGTTTAAGTCCCCTTGTCTACAGGCTAACCGTTGGAGGTTTTCGTGGTCTTCCTCTCCATGTAACTCAAATGCTGGTTATTTCCATCAAAAAGTTCTTTCTAAAGACTAATTTCTCCCGATACTTGATCCAGGAGTTTCTTTGTCTTCTGGATTGGGTTCAAAATGACAAGGCTACTGAGTTGAACATCAGTAGCTATAAACCCAAAATTGGGTCGGCTAGTAAAATCTCCGTTATTTTATTTCTCCAATGTTGGCAGGGATGAGATTTTTCCGCTTTTTAGCGGATTTCCGCTTTTTTCACTTTTATCTCTTGAATTTCAGCTTTTTTATCAAAAATTCAGATTTTCTAAAAATTTCACTTTTTTTTATAAGTATTCCGCTTTTTCAGAGAATTCACCGATTTTCAAAGAGAAACAGAAAATTCAAACCACAAAGCTACCAATCCTTTCTCATTTTTACTTATTTTATCTATTTTCTCCCCTTTTACATGCAGCAGATAAGTTTTTCCGAATTTTTTACCCGCCCTCCAGATAGATCCAATTTTTGTAGTTCAAACGACGCTGGTTCTGACAAGCCTTTTAGAGGTCCCAAGCCTGGAATCTGCTAATATATCGATTCTTATTCACATGATTTTAATATCAAACATAGCTTTTCATATTTGCGTGTTGCGAATCTTATTCACGCAATTTGAATATTGTATGTTGCAATTCTTATTTGCAAGATTTAAAATCCCGATATTGTGATTCGTATTTACGCCTTTTTAAAAACCTATGTAGCGATTGGTATTCACGCAAGTTTAAAATTCAATGTCTTAAATTGCTCATGCGGTTTATAATATCAAACATCGATTTTCGTATTTATACGTGATTTTAAAATAAGGCATTGGGATTCGCATTCTAAAAATTATGCATCATAATTCTTATTTATGCAATCTAAAAATTACGCATCATGATTCGTATTTAGGCGATCTAAAAATTATGAATCGTGATTTGTATATACGCGTTTCAAAAATTCTATATCCCAGTTTGTATTTTCTCATTTTCGAAATCGTATATCTAGTTTCATATTCATGTGATTTCAAAATCAATAATTGTTACTCATATTCACGCAATTTTAAGATCAACTATCGCAATTCTTGTAAGAAGGAAATATTTTTTTTTTAATTAGTTACTATAAAGGTGACTGTTTTTCTAACGACGATTATTAGTATATGTAAGTGTTACAACATCAGAGAAACCGGAAGGGAATATATTCAAAACTTAATTCTGTGCTTACACAGAAGTAAAAATAGGATTTGTCACAAGATGTTTGAAGATGGACTAACAACTAAATATAGCAAGCATAAAAGATATAGCAAACAAAAGGAATCACATCAATTTTGGAAAAAAGAGTTAATTAACTCATCATCAAAATTTTATTTATAATTGCTATCATTTATGCTATAAAATGCAAAATTCTTATCAAATAAAAAACAATTATCTAAACAGTTGCTGATTGTCATGTAATTTTTCAAACTAAAATAAAAATTTTTGTATGTTAAGGAGTTACTATATATTTCTACTTCACTGTTATTGATGTGTTTCAGAGGGCTCTAGTTAGATTAGACTATAATATGAACATAATGATTCGGTACATTGTTAAAGTTTTTTTTTTCCAATATAATTTAAAAAGTAATATTACTGATATATTTGCTATAAATCACATAACAGTATTTATTAAAAGAAATGAAATATTAATGTATATTCTCAGTAGTTTTAATTTGCTAAACCAGGTAGTTTTTCAAGTAATAATTGTCTCTTATGTGAACTGAGGAAAAATATAATTTCCAGCTTTATTTTTTCAATTGGTAATTTTTATTTTCACTAAATGTTAAGTATAAATGTAATCATTTATATAATAATAGATTAGTACACAATTGTATGTTGACACATTATTTATTACCTTAAACTGTCTGGAATTTATTATTAAAGGGTTGCACTTGCGTAAAATTTACTATCATGGAAATTCAGGTTTTTTGCTTTTTGGCTAATCTCATCCCTGATTATGTCAAAGCGTGCTTTTCACATTGTTCTAACCAACATTTTTGCAATTCATTCAACCGCAATCCATTTCAGCTTACCTTCAGTCCATAGCTAATAAAAGTGCATATAATTTTACGTGTTGCATGAAATACTTGTGAGTTCGCATGTCCGCCTACGGAACTGGGTTCGGTGAGATTCTTGCACTCTCATGTGCAACTCTGCTGCATTTTGCGAGATATTCTCAATTTCATTCTTCATTTTCCCACCCTCTGATATAAAACCGGAATATATCTTGATTATGTTATAATGGCTAATACCATCAAATAAAAGAGTTCTTTGTCTGAAACTGGTTATTTTATCATGATCATGTAAAGTCTTTGAAAATTATTTTGCATTTTGTTAATGTTTATAGTGCTTAAAAATATTTTTTGACTGCTTTAAAAGTACTTAAAAGGTGCTTATTTTTTGTTGAAAGATTCGGCTATGCACCCTGACACAGCTTGAGTGCATTTATGTGGCACTGAAAAGTGCTTTTGCTTTAATAAAAAAAAATTTCAGATAATTTCTTCATCCCACAATCGCATGTCTGGGTTATGTAAGTCATTTGTTTTATGTGAGTTCTCTTTAAATGAATTTGTTTGATTTTGCTTATTTTACTCCAAATGATTTTGGTATAAAATGTACAAAGACAAATGTTTTTTCAATTAAAAGGGAAACAAATGATGGATCTTCTATTCATAATGTTTTAAATTATTCATTTAAAATGTGGAAAGTAAATGCTTTTGCCTGCTGTGTATTATTACTTACCAGGGGTCTATTATCGGACGCTTTACGAAATATCTTTTCAAGAAAATGGACCCTTCAAACAAAATAATTTATCTTTTAATTGGACCCTTCTCAAATTTGTTTATCTTCACTATTGTTTTATTAATCGAATAAACCCTTCCCAAGGGGGGGGGGAAGACAGTTCGAGACAAACTAAGTTTTCCTAAGTTTAAATTCCAAATGTAGTATTCTAAGAAAATATTTCTACTTCTACAAACATTGTGTACGCATTCTTATTAATATGAAATCATAATTTTTTTTTTGTAAATAATTAATTGAATATTATGTAAATAAAAATTTCTGACAATTTTTTAAATAAAATATTATAAATTTAAGAATCGTTTAAGTTTACTTAATGCTTAACACAGTAAAAGTGATACATTACTAAGTTGTGCTATTTAAAATATGTCAATTGAAATGATTCAAAATGTGAGTGATTTTGTCTTCATTATTCGTCCGAAATGAATATTCTGTGTTGAGCAGTATAGGCTAAATACCAAATATTTGTATGTTGTATCTTTAATTTAGTAACAGCAATTGTTGAGCAGAATCTTGTATCTATTTAAATTTAAAAACTTCTTGAAAAGGTTTTTAGTAATTTTTGCTATAACAGGACCCTATTTGTACAAAATCAGGACCCTGGTTGAAAGAATGTGACCTAATGCTTATTTTATATTCACAAATTATGAATCGTTTTTTCGCAATTTTACAAGAGCAGAACCTTTCACAAAATGTCAGGACAGACCCCTGCTTACACAAATTATTCAGTAATAATGAAGAAAAAAACTTTTGTTTTAGTAATTTTGGAAGTTTATTTTGAGTTTTGATTGTACTACTTTTTGTATCGTAATGTCTAGTTTATTTTATTTATTACTCACTAAATGATTTTGCGAAAAAATAAAAGTCCGGTTTTAACAGAAACTTAAAATAACTGCAAATAAATTTGTTCTGAATAGTTTTGATTTAGTTTTATTATTTATTTTTTAATCACTTTTATTGATAACTACACCAATTTTAAGTAAGTTAAAAAATAACTTGACTGATGATTTATTGTTTAACTTTTAAATGTGTTTAATTATTTGGGAGGAGAAAAAAAACTTTATCGAACTTCTTTCAGTTCTCACTTTTCTTTTAATGTTTGTAATTAGATATATTTGTAGTGATGTATTCTTTCTTTTTTCTTCTATAGTAAAAATGTTAGGTTGGCAAGTAAGAGATAAGTTGATTGATAACTATAGAATATAAAGCATTTAAACTAAAAAAATATTCTCGATTTTAATTATCTTTTGTATGTTCAAATGAATCGACATTAAAAGGAAACAAAGAGCTTTAGAGGTGTAAGAAGCGTTTGAGATACTAAAGTTAAGTTAAAGGGGGGAAATGAAATTCACTTGGACAAAAAATAAATAAGATCTATAAAATTGTCCATACTGTAAACATTTATAACTATTGTTAGGCAAAAAATAAAGACATTAAAAATTGCTTTTGTAGAATGAAGGCTTTTATTTACAACTGGTAAAATGCCTATGTGGTTTTAAAGTTTGGCTAAATCTTGTTTGCAAAGTTACAATAAATATTTGCCAGGCGGCTGTTACTTATTACTCATCAGGGGACTGTTTAGAAGAAATTTGGGTCCGTTAAAGGACCCTTCACAAAATACCTTTTCATAAAATTGGTCCTTCACAAAATATTTTAACTTAAAAACGGACCTTTCACAGAAAAAATTTTTCTTTTAATCGAACCCTTCACAAATTTGTTTATCTTCATTATTGTTTTGTTAATCGGATAAGGTGAAAGGGGGTGACCAAAAAAGATGGATGTAAACGAATTAAGTTTCATCTTCGGCAGACGATTGTAGAAATACTTGTTGAACCACCGATAGATGGCAGATTTTATTGTTAATTAAATTGTAACCGCAACTGTAAAAAGAAACTTGTTAAAAAGAGATATGTGCGCTTTTTGAATGTAGTAGTAGTTGTAGTACCCTTTTGTCCTGTATATCTCATGTTATAATATATATATTTTTGTTGTCACTTACCCCTATGTAATTATTGAGTAGTTTTCCTGTTTCTCAAGAAAACGAGAAAAATGATAAATTCACTAATAGTTTAGATAAATTTTCGGTGTATTTCATAACCCATTAGAATTAATTAAACTCGAAAAGAGAAAACGATTCTTCCATTATCCTTCCGAAATGAATATTCTGTGTTCACCAGTATAGGCTAAATACCAAATATTTGTATGTAGCATCTCTAATTTCGAAGCAGCAATTGCTGTTTATTTTAGAAAATGTAATTTTTTTAATTATAATTTTTCAGTGCTGAGCATAATCTTGTATCTATTGACAATTTAAAAACTCCTTTAAAAGCTTTTTTTGCAATAACCGGGCCCTATTTGCACACATCAACAAAAGCAGGACCCTGGTTGAAAGAATGTGACTTAACATTTATTTTATATTTACAAATTACGAGTCATTTTTTCACAATTTTACAAAAATGGACCTTTCACAAAATGTCTGCCTGCTCATAGTAGTAAACATTGTATAATCATTGCAGATTGAAAAAGAATAATGTATGTTATGCTGTCTAAAGAAATTTGATATGAAATAAACACAATTTTGTCTTCTCTCTCTTTAGATCTGAAATGTTGTTACAAATGCAAAAGATTAAATCTGAAAAAAGACATCTTCGAAAAATCATCAAGGACTTTGAAACAGAATTTCTGAGGCTGAACTCAAAGTAATTATTCATTTTAATGTGATTCTTATTCTGCAGTTTCTGTACCTGTGCTGCAAAAATGAATAAATAGAGAAAATATTACTATCACAGCTTGCTTGTACAGTTATGTGTATATAAGACACAGAACATATTATTTGTACGCTGTCGAACATCCTACAGAGTGCATAGCGTTTTTAAGGTGCTTATTTTCGATTTTAGTTTTTAAGGTGCTTTTATTCATGGATGTTTTTAAAAAGTGCTTAATTTTTCCATTTTCTGAAATGTAATATTTTTCTTTACCATTTTGATTTTCGCCACAAATTATACAAAAGACATTGTCCTATTCAACGTTTTCACAATTAATTCGACCCCAATCTATTTTGGCGCATCATCAGACCATAGCTTATGAAAACGCCATTCAAAAATTTTGACAGTTGTCAAAAACAATGGCAAAACATGACATGAAGGTCAAAACCAGATAAAACCATCAATTGTCAAAAACTTTCCAACCCTTCCTAATTATGATATTTTTTTAAGTGCTTAAAAGGTGCTTAATTTTTGTTGAATAATTTGGCTGCGCACCCTGATTATTTCTTAATGCTTATTGTTTTAGATAATACTTATTGTTTAACATTGTTTTAGAGTGTTAAAATTGATTAAGGCTATTTCAAACTAAACTGCCTGTTTCATGCAATAAAACCACCTGGTTGGTATGTGACTACCTTTTACGTGTTGAGAAATGACTTCTAGTGAAACCTTAGTTCCTTTCTACTTCCACAAAGAGGGTCATAATTTTTAATCAGGCTTTTCTTCAGATACTTAAGACATTAGGTTGATGTGAGAAATGAGACCCTTTTACAACTTTAGTCTGAGGATGGTGGTTTTGTTCCTTGCTATCAACTAAAAGACATGAAGATGGAAAATTTTTAATTGTTTTTTAAGTGAAAATAAATTGAAATGTGTGTAACCAATATATAATGTGCATTTAACCAAGAGCTTTACCTTTGTAATAAATTTTTTCTAGTTCTTTCATAGTTATTTTAAAAAAATTATATTTATTTGACTATAATTTTATTCATTGCTTCTGAATTTCCTTTTTTTAGAAAAGTTCAGAAGGAAGACAGGATACCCATAGAATCTATTTATAATGAATACAAGGTATGTATCATGTTTCATTTCTCTCTTCTTTTTTTTTCCTTACTTTAGTTCAATTTTGTTGTACCATCCTTTAAAATCAATATATTTCATTCTCAGAGTTTAGTTTTGAAAACTGTTGTTTTCATAAACAAGCCCTTCAACTTTGAAATAAATTAAATACTTTGATTATTTTTCTTTATTTAAATAATATTTTTGAAACAACTTGCTACTCTTAACACATTGCTGACCATAGCAATCATGTTATAGCAGTGATCTCGTGGTGACTATTTTAAAAAGTGGGGTGTAATTTTTCTTACTTTTCAAGTTTTACTATTTAATTCTCTACCAATTTATTATAACTTTACAAAACCCGATATATTTGCAAAACTTGTGTTATACTTTTTATAATACGAAAAAGATATATTACGAGTTGAATAATAAATAAAAAAATTTTGAAGTTTATTTATATTGTTTTACTTCACAACCCTTCCACAGAAAAGTTGCCGGTCAGCAATGTGTTAAGCTTACTTGCTTTTAAACTTCCTATGAATTTAGGCTCTGCCATATTTGCTTTAGAAATATAATTTCATATCCAATCTCTAATTTTTCATAAGTTTTGGGGATATAGTTAAGCTTGAAAAAAGTTTTATTAATTAGTTATTGAAATGCCAAATTACCAAAATGCTGTACTATGTTGATAAATGTCACAAATTTTAGTTTGTGAAAGCAATTGGAGTGGTAGCTGGTTCTATAATACCTGTTACCATACAATACCCATTACCATAATTTTCAATAATGAATCAGTACAAATATCAATAAATCAGTACTGAACAATACTATAAAATCATATGATTGAAATTCAAAGACTAGATGAAATAGAGAATTTAAAAAATACATCAGGGGTCTGTTAAGGTTTTTCTGAGAGGCACCTATTTAGTGAAAATTTAGACATAATTTGCGGGGGGAAAAATATTAAAAATTCAACACAAAAATATTGTAAAAATATGGATTTATCGTTTCTTACGAGTCACAAAAATAAAATTTTAAGAAAAAATGTTTTGTGACATTATTCTACAGTTTTTCCTAAAGTTGAATTTGTGAAGGTAAATTTGGCTTGGACAGACCCCCGTACTTTAACTATTAAAGCAAGTTTCAATTAGCAAACCATAATTTTAATTTAAAATTGTGATTTCTTTTTCCCTCTTGATTTTAAAATGACAAAATAAATGTAACAGATTGTGTTTATAAATGTAGTCATTCATCAAAAAATAAATAAATATTTAATCTATATATTTTTATATTAAAATATTCATTTTTAATCCTACATCAATAAAATATAGTGTAGATTTTAATTCCATGATTTTTCAATCAAAAGGTAGAATTTTAATTAACATTATTTGCATTTTTTTTTTGGAAAAAATTCATGTTTATTAATTACTTTCTACAACTATGCAAGTCTATATTAAGACAGCATTAAATGTTTACTTTAATCTGTACTTTCAATCTCAAGAATCAATAGATTTTTAAAAATGTAATTTCAAATGTGTTGGAATTTAACACACATCAAGAAAGAAAGTAATTTCGTTAACTAAAATTAGTCATATACAATTTATTTAAAATAAATTTTAAAACTAAGATAAGAAAATAATAAAAGTATCAATAATTGCAACACTGTTTTTTAACTTTTAAAATCAATGTATGTATTAAAAAAATCAGTTGATTTAAATCAATGATTTTTTTTTTTAAATAATCAGTTGATTTAAATCAATGATTTTTTTATATGATGAGTTGAATGATAAAATAAGATGAAGCAAGTCTCGTTTTTAGTGGTTCTACCCATCAAAATAGTGATTAACTGCATCCAGTATCATTTGGAATCGTGTTATTGTTCGAGGCCAAGTCGCGATAGGAAAATTTTTCTCCATCGAGCAATTTCCTAAGGGCTGTAAAGAAACCTATTTTTGCAGTATCTATGTTAAAACTGCTAAGTATTGGTTCAATTTGAATAAGTACCAAATATACTATAACATTCTATACTTGTAACATTTCTCCTAAACAAGTTGGTACCATTTCTCAATTCATTTTGCAAATAGCATTTTTTTATTTCAAATGCTAGTAGCTATTGCCATAATTAATGAAGCATCATTGGCAACAATAAAAACATGATAGTTTTTTATGTTTTTCCTAAATGAGTTAGAACGATCTGCCCTTTAATTTCAGTTCATGGCTTATAGATTTATTTTATACATATAACCAAATTTAATTTACCATCATTGGCTTTGATATAAGTATAACAAGTTTTTGCTTTTCTCCTAAACAAATTAGTACAGTTCATCCATTCATTGAGCTTTTTAGTGCATAGTTTATTTATTTTTTATTTCAGTTAGTTCCTATTACTAAAATTAATTAGGCATCAAAAATAATATGGTAATTTACTTAGATTCTCCTAAATGAATTAGTATTATTTTGCCATTGATATTTCACTTTAGTACTCAGTTTTTTTTCTTTGTTCCAATTGGTACTTTTTACCAAAATTAATCAAGCATCAATTGGCCTCAATATTAGTATGGAATGTAATATAATTTTTTAGAATTGAAGGCTAAAATTGTTAAATGGGCTAAAATTTTAGTTCATAGCTTATAGTTTTATTTTATGCATGTAACCAAAATTTAATTTAGCATCATTAGCTTTGATATATAAGTATAACAAGTTTTTGCTTTTCTCCTAAACAAATTAGTACAGTTCCTCTATTCATTGAGCTTTTTAGTTCATTGTTTATTTATTTTTTTATTTGAGTTAGTTCCTATTACTAAAATTAATTAGACATATTTACTTAGATTCTCCTAAATGAATTAGTATTATTTCTCCATTGATATTTCACTTTAGTACTCAGTTTTTTTGCTTTATTCCAATTAGTACTTTTTACCAAAATTGATCAAGCATCATTGGCCTCAATAATAGTATGAAACGTAATATAATTTTTTAGAATTGAAGGCTAAAATTGTCCCTCACTGTCCGTACTCCAGGACGGTAGATAGCTCAGGGGATAGCCTTCTGATGAGGCGAACCGGGTTCGAATCCCAGTTGATACAAATTTCGCATCCGGCTTGCATCGGCCAAAGTGCTGACGCGAAATATCCTCAGTGGTAGACGGATCATGGGTTAGAGTCCTCTTGCTAATAGGCTAACCGTGGGAGGTTCTCGTGGTCTTCCTCTTCATGTAATGCAAATGCAGGTTAGTTCCATCAAAAAGTCCTCCACGAAGGTGAAATTTCTCCTAATACTTGATCCAGGAGTTCCCTTTTCTTCTGGATTAGGTTCAAAATGACAAGTTGAACATTAGTAGTCGTAAACCTATAAGATTGTGTCGTCTGTTCAACGACGGATATAAAATATAAAAAACTAACAGACTTGGAGTTAAGAGACAAATTAATTCTTATTTTTTTTATTATTCATTGTTACTTTTCTTTTTTCATCCTTTCTCTTTTAAAGAAAATAAATTTTGTCATAAAATTTTCTGTGTATCAATACTTTATTTTATGTTTGTGTAAACGTTTTTGATACACATAAAAAGAATTACTTTATTTGAGCATTAAATGGTTGGTAAATAAATGTGTCTATCAAAATGGTGTTATAGAGTTTAAATGTTAGCTCTCGACTTATAAAGGACGAAGACACGTTGTTTTTATGCAATATATTTTGTTAAATATTAGCTTTTGATTTTTAATGGATAAAATCGCATTGTTTTTATGGTATATATTTTATTAGAGCTAAATTATTTCATAAAACATGTGGATCACCTGAAAATAGATTACTATAATAAATGCTTAAATCTTTATTTTAGCTGGTCAATTGTCAAATAGAATAAAAACTTCAGCAGTGTACTATCTTCAAGATACCCTGCAATAAAAAAATAATTCTTTTTTCAAAATTATTTTATGTATCTTCTAAACAATTTCTTTAATGATTTGTATTTAGTTTAAATACTGTATTTATATTTTGGTTTTGACATTTTTATTTTAAGATATTCAGTTATAAGGTATTTTTGTCAAGCTTTCTGAGTAATTGAAGAATTTGGTTGGCAAAACTAACAATTTTTTTTTTTGTACAAAAAATGGAACTTATCAATCAAAAATCTTCCATTCTGTTTAACCGCTTCCTTTACCAATTTGTTTGAAGGAAAAAAATGCACATATTTTTATTTCATTAATAAATACAAGGAACTAAATTAAAATACACAAGTTCAAAGTTGACATTTTAATTTTTTTGTATGTAAAATATTTTTAATTTACCATCCGTTTACTATCCCAAATTGTCTCGGCTAATGAAAAAAGTTGAATATTAATCTTTGTATGTGTTCACATCTTCATCATCTGAAAAATCATCTTCATTACTTTCGCTCACGATTGCCATTTTTATACTTTTTTTTTTCCTATGTAAATTCAGCAACCATCGTACATACGTTTGTACAAAACACGTGTGCAGTCCCACAATCCAACATCAAACTCGCAAACTTCCAATCGCAGCAAATCATTATTTGTTTTGCTTCCGGCAGAACAAAAACGTGGTAACACACAACGTTCTATTACGCCCGAGTTTACTCGGGATAATCAGGGAGGCGGTTAATTATATTCGTTCTGGTTACTTTTGGGCTACATGGTTGACGCGACATCACTTTCGAACCAAGCTGCAATAATGTTGTGTGAGGAATCACATTGTCACCCCCCCATTTAGTCACCAGATTATCATTTATCTCAAAGTTTACAAAACTTTCGAAATGAAAAAAAAAAATCAGCAATAATGAAGAACTCACGGTTGCCACTCCACAGGGAAAACCTGAAAAGTACAGGGAATTTAAAAATCATCTAAAACAACCGGAATAATGCAAGGTATTTTGAGTTTTTCTTTAAAAACTACAGAGAATTTTGTTTCTTATTTTCGTCTTTTAAAAAAATGGTAACCAAAGTGCAATCTATGGAATATTTACGGATGATGTTTCAGCTATATTAAACTATTTCATTTACGATAGCATTATTTGTTTTAAGTGATGATCAGCTGTTCCTTTTTTCCTTAAGGTTTTTCAGCAAAAATACAGAGAATTTTGTTTCTTGTTCTCGTTTTTTAAAAAAATGGTAACCAAAGTGCGATTTATGGAATATTTACGGATGATGTTTCACACCCTCTATATATTCGTCTCCTCTGACATATTCGGTTGCCTCTCAATAAATCTCCTTACAGTGTCCACTGCAGAAAGTGCTTGTTTGTTAGTAACATTGAGCGGTAAATCTTCGATTTCCTCATCCTCTTCTAATTGTTCCCAAGAAGCTTTCGTTTTAGCGATGATATCATTGGCATCCCACTGACCACACACTGTTACTGCATCATCTACGTTTACAAAGTCATGAAAATCCATGTCATCAAGTTTCATGCGTCTGTCCCAATCATTTTCGGTGTAGTTTTCAGCAGAAATAACGATATTGATTGACTTTCGTGATCTTTAATGAATCCAAGCTTCTTGAAGCCATTCATTATCGTAGAGAAAGACACATCATTCCATGCCACTGACGTCTTTATGTCCGTTTTTTAAAAAAAAGTTTATCATTATAAGAATNTTTTGTTTTTTTTTTTTTTTTTTTTTGGAATAGTTTCTTATTTTCAGAAGAAAAATCTACACTATTCATGGAGAGAAAAAATTCAAGTTATCGAGGGATTAGAAAACAAAATTCGTGAAGTAAATTTTTTTTTAACATTGAGTGTATAGGAAATTTGAAGGGAATTTTTTTTTTCTTCGAGATATCGAAAATTTCGTGAAATCGAGGTTAGAGTTAGCGAGGATCGACTGTTTTATAAATAATTTTAGCTACAAAATGTCAAATGTAATTTTAGTCAAAATGCAGTTTTTTTTTTTTAAAATTCGATCCTCATTTCATTTTATAATGCCGTTAATGATAGGTGGTCAATCTCCAATTTATTGTTTCAAAAGCGAAAATTTCTCTCTTTTTTAAGAAACTAAAAGAAATAAAAAGAAATAACGGAGTTTATTATCAGCTCTTGCTAAATTTTGTTTCCATGTTCTTAAAAATATTTTAAAGCTACATTTTAAAAAATTGTTTATAAGATTTTTTATGCATGTGTGCTCTTTTTTTTTTTATTTCAGCATGTGAAAGCGAGATTGAAACTCTTGGAAGCTCTGGTATCGAAGCACGATCAATTTTTATAATATGCTCATTTGAGGTTTGCGGAACGACTCTTCTGACTACACTTTAGGAGAAATGATAGTGAGAAAGTTTTTTTTTTTTTACATTGAGATAAAACATATGTCTACTCACGATATGAAGAAGACACTTAAGTGTTCCTGCAACATGTTGTGTACACAAGAGGATGATCGGTTCCTTATAATTTTCCTAGGGAGGTTTTTGTTGCTGCTTAAACAAGTCTTTTTAAGTCACTTTGTTAGAAGAAATGTATCTTAACAATATAAACAGGGTATCTGCACACCTGGAAAGTCATTGAACAAAATTTGTCATGATTTTAACTATTTTTTTAAAAGTCATGGTTTAGGTTGCCGAAAAATCTAATTTTTAAAATGGACCCCTCAATTTCCCGGTGTTCCGAATATCTGAATGTGTAACAAAATGCCCACTCACAGTCATATTTGATTAAAATGTTTTTATCTTGTTCTTAAAAAATGATGGTGTTCTTTCAAAAAATGAAGGAAAAAACATCATTTCTTAGAACAAATTATTTTTTGAACTTCTGTGATTTCAGAATTTTTGTTATTGTTTACTTTTTTTTATTTTATCAATTCTAGCTGAAATAAAATGTGTTCCGAATATCTGAATTTGTAACAAAATCCCCACTCACAGTCATATTTGATTAAAAATTTTTTATCGTGTTCTTTAAAAATGATGGTGCTCTTTCAAAAAATGGAAGAAAAAACATTTCTAGAGCAAATTATTATTTAAACTTCATGTGATTTCAGAATTTTTGTTATTATTTATTTTTTTTTATTTTATCAATTTGAAATTCTAGCTGAAGCAAGCAAGCCAAAGTCAGGAGTATTTCTTCCCATTCCGATGAACGAGGAAAGTATCTTTAGAATATAATTCCACAGAAAAAAATAAAAATAATTTATTTGCTTTTGTGTTTTTTTCAGCTATTTTATTGCTTCAACTCTTTCTTTACTCTGTTTTTTAGATTTAAAATCTATAAATATGCAGAGTATGACAGTTTTTGGTTATACATATCATTTCAATGAATGTTGTTATGATTTTTTAAATTTATTGTTGTGTTTTTGTCGGAGAAAATAGTAACTTCATTAAGTCATGAAAAATTCTTGGAATTAATCATGAAAAGTCATGAATTTGAAAATCTAAAATGTAGCAGATACCCTGTAATAAAGTGAATCTTTTAGATTATGTCAGTGGCAGCACCTGTTTACAGGATTTAATATTTTACCAGTTGATTTCACATCTGTATTATTATTATTATAATAGTTTATTGGGAGAAAAAAGTATGAGTAGTCCCCCATGGCAGAATTGCGACGACATTGTTGCAAAACGTCAGAGTTTTTGCAGAAAGATTTTTCATTTGGGAAGGGGAAAATTTTGGTTTTCATTTCTGCCTAAATTTTCAAAAAATGTTTGTTTTTTTTTTCCCCTTGCAGAATTATTTTTTTCTTTCAAAGATGTCTTTCTTGCGCATCAGAGAGGAAAGAAACATAGTTTTTCTATTTTCATTTGAGATTTTTAAAAAAAAAATCTGTAATGATTGACTTCAGCTAGAATCTGAAATTAATTATATAAAATGAAAAATTGCGAAACGTAAACTTATTTGAGTATCACTTTTTTAATGAGTCCTATTCGTGATAATTTTTTGTCAATCTTTATTTTGGGAGCTTTTGCACAGATTTTACGATTTTTTATTTTTTTTTTATTTATGTACTAATTTTAATTTATTATAGGTTGCACAAAATAAAATTCGTCAATAAATTAATGATTTACAAAAGTGCGAAAGAGAAAATAATTAGTGCATTTTTCTGCCTACAAAATGCGAAAATATCGCCTATAATATTAGAATTTAAAATATATAACTTTTACAATTAACATTTTTTTATACATTTTATTCTATACTTTCAAACAACGTTTCTTTTACTTTAAATTAGTAATTGTTATTATTAAAAGTATCTTAGAGCAAAATATATATTAGTGCAAGGGAAGTTTGTTGCAAGAAAAATTCTGCCACAGGGGAGTAGTCTTATAAAGTTATGCTTAATTGAAAAAGTGCAATGAGTAATAATAAACATGGATATGTTTTCTTAAAAACAAAGGTGGCTACAGAACAGGGAGTTTTATAAATATGAGTATGTATGGAAAATAATCAAAATGCACCTCAAATTAGGAGAGAAGAACTAGTTAAAGGTACTATTTGAAATTCCAATATTTTTCCTAGAAGAAAATTGGTACTTATTCTGAATAAATATCCTCTAATATTTGATGATTTTGGTTCAGTTTTTATCAAAAATAGTTATATAAAAAAAATTTCATCTGTTTTATGAAAAAGTTGATTTAACATTTATTAGAAAATATTGCACTATCAAAATCTAAAATTTTTGTTTTTAATTACTAAAAATGGCTCTCAGTCAGTGACTGCATAGTGGGTCAATAATAGGTCAGTATCAGTTTTCGCCGAGGAAATATTAAAGTTTGCTCGAAATAGAAAGATTTATTTATTTTTTTAAATTAAGGCACAATAAAATTATCTATTTTTTTCAGCGATGACTACTGTGAACTTCATGATTTCTAATTTATTTATTTTTATTGTGGTGATTTTTAACAAAATGTGAGAATATCACCCATAATATTAGATTAAGAAATTATTACATGCTTCATTAAAAAAGTTATATATATATATACACAGTCAAACCTCAATATCTCGAACTTGAAGAGAGAGGAGAAAAAATTTGAGATACCGAAAATTCGAATTATCGAAAATCGCATGTTATCAATGGTAGAATAAAGAAAAATGCACTTTACATACCTTATTTACTATTCCATATTTATTCTAAAAATACTTTTTACACTTAAAAAGATTCAATTGTTGTTTGCTTTAGCGATGCGTAAGAAAGTTTGTCTATAACACTTTTCTATAGCTTTAAATGCTTCCTCTGACATATTCGGCTGCCTCTAAATAAATCTCCTTACGGTGTTTCACTGAAGAAAGTGCTTGTTTGAGAATTGGTTATGATTATGAGAATTAGTTTTCTATTCTTAAAATTTTGTTTGGAAATTTTTTTTTTTTTCAGGAAAAAAATTACATTATTTATGGAGAGAAAAATTCGAGAAATCAACGTTTTTTTAACGTTGAGTGTAAAGGAAATTTGAAGGGAATATTTTTTTCTTTGAGGTATCAAAAAATTCGTGAAATCAAGGTTCGAGTTAGCGAGGTTCAACTGTATATATATATATATAAACACACCTCTTTTTCTATTTTAAATGAGTTACATATGTTTGTTATTATTAAAAGTATCTTGCAGAAAGATATTAGTGCTTGGGAGTTTTCTCGCAGATACCTCAAAAGAATACTATCACAGAGAAACTAAACTGAAAAATTAATAATGAGACTTATGCTGCTAATTACAAAAATTAAAACAATTTGTTTAAATCAGTCTTGAAAATTATTGCTATCAAATTATGACCATCTTTTTTTTTGTGACCCCTCCTGAAAAAGAATTTAAGACCCAGTCAAGAAAATGTTATAATGCTATGTTTGAAACATAATGAGTTCTTTTTGTGTTATTCTGTGTACATAATGTAATATGTTCATTTAACATGTCATTTCTGTCAATCATACTTGTTTATTAACACATTTAGACCAAATTTCAGCTGACAACACTCCCATCTCCGCAATTGTATGTCAACTATCACGTCATTTATGTCGAGCAAGGAAGATGTCTCGGGTAACGAAATGCTTTTATATGTTGTAATAAAATGTTGCTTTCTTTAAATGTAAGGATTGTTTGTAATATTCTTTTATTCTCTGATAATGATTTTGAGTTGGTTTGTAAGAGGGTTACAGAATGATTTTGAGTTGGTTTGTAAAGGGTTTACAGAATGATTTTGAGTTGGTTTGTTAGAGGGTTACAGAATGATTTTGAGTTGGTTTGTAAGGGGTTACAGAATGATTTTGAGTTGGATTGTAAGGGGTTACAGAATGATTTTGAGTTGGATTGTAAGGGGTTACAGAATGATTTTGAGTTGGATAGTACGGGGTTACAGAATGATTTTGAGTTGATTTGTAAGGGGTTACAGAATGATTTTCAGTTGGTTTGTAAGTGGTTACAGAAAATAGCATCCAACGATTCATTTGTATGATACGTGTCAGCTGAAATCGGGTGATTCTTTAATATATTATTTCTGCTGTTAGAAAAATCATTTGTGTGTATTATGCAAGTAGATCATTATAAGTGTAGAGAATCAATATTTTTTTTCCCTCGCTTTTTTATCATTTTGCAGTTAGAGGAAAAATGACATTGATTCATTCTCTTGAAGAAATCATTCTTTTAAAAAAATTTATTTCATTATAAATATCAAAAATGTTGCATTCTCTCTGTCTCGTTGGGGAGTCTCAACATTGTGTGTATATATATATATGTAATTATAGGTGTGTCTGTAGAACGACCGCAGCCAATTCTTTATGAATTTTACAAATAGTGTCCACTCCCCCTGTATGTTATATATAGATTTCTAGCGAGGACACAACATTGTATGTTTATAAATTCATTCATTTTTATTTGACTGTTTATATGTTCTGCAATGCTTTCTACAGATGTTGTTTATTTATGTGATATTTTTAAGTTAGAAATTGTAACATCTTGTTCCCAGTAATAAATTAGGTTATAACTAACTACCTTCTTTTGTATCTCATTTGCATGTCATTCAATCATTGCAAAACTAGTAAGCTGTAGCATTTTAAAAAAGTACTTAAAGGTGCTTATTTTTGTTTTTTTAAAAACCCTTAAAGGTGTTTTTTCCATTGGATGCTTTTAAAAAGTGCTTAATTTTCCCTTTTTCAAAATGATATTTTTTCTTTACTATGTTGATGTTCGCTTCGAATTATGCNGGCTAAGATCGACCCCCGCTTATGTTAAATAGACCCCTGGGGGTCTATATAGACCACTTTGGCGACCTCTGCCGTAGCGTATGAAAACGCCATTCGTTTTACATGAGTCAAAATTTCATGATTTTTGACAATTGTCAAACACAATGCCAAAGGTTTTTTTTTGACATGATGGTTAAAACAAGATAAAACCGTCGATTGTCAAAAACTTTACAACTCTGCCTAATTAACATGTTTTTTTAAAGTGCTTAAAAATTTTTTGGAGTGCTTGAAAAGTACTTAAAAGGTGCTTATTTTTTGTTGAATAATTTGGCTACGCACCCTGGAAATATTTTTTTTATCATGGCGGTTTTTGCCACAAACTAAGCAAAAATTGTTTTCACACTATCCTAATCAAAAGTTTTCACAATTCATTCAACCATAATAATAGTAATATTTTTAGGATGTATCAACCAGGCTATCCCGGCCCTATTTTTTTTTTTGCAATAAATTCTGAAATAAAGTAAGTGTTTTAAAATTTAATATAAAATATTTAGTTTATTAAAAAAAATATTTAAAATTTCATATAAATTATGTAAGAGTTATGGATTGAAATAAATTACACTTGATTAAAAATTGAGGACATTTCATTCTTTTAACTCATTCAAGTGTCAATCTGAACTCTCAGTCTGTCTATGTAATATAAGGCTGGGATAGTCTGGTCGGTAGGGCGCTGGGCCCATGTCCGTGGGTTCGAACCCAGCTGTAGTAAATGGTGACTGATAGCACGTTAAATCTGTAGAGTCACAAAAGTCCTCCATGTTCCCATAACAAGTCAGTACCTCTGGGGGTACTGGATTGGAGATCGATCGTTCTCTAATTCAGGTCAAAATTACGATCTGTGGATGAATGAATGGGTCCGCCTTATAAACAGGTTCGACGTATGGTGTGGCAGAAGTGGAATTCTTGTCCATAGATTGGCGCCGCTGAAAAACAAGAAACTAACCCTCTGCCTTAAATTTACTCGGTTTCGGCAAGCGGCATTAGAAACAACATATAATATTAAAGAAAGGTTTCAACTCATTACATTAAAAGTAAAGCAATAGTTCACTTTTGTGGAGTCTTCACAGCTGATTTTACTTCCCACTTCTACCCTCTGCTGGGTACCGAGCAAATTATTGACAGAGGCTGATTTATCATTAGACTTGAGAGGCCTCCTAAATGTTATAAATAATTTCTTTTTGTGTTTTTAAGAATTATGAGCTAACAAAGATTAAAATGAATATAAACTCAAATTTACTTAATGTATTGCAATCTATAAAGAATTTAAAAATACCTAAGGGTTGTCACTCCACATTGTGAACAGGGAAAACCTAGAACAGTGGTTACCAACTCGCGGGCCACAACCAGCCCACGATCTAAAATATATTAGTTGTCATTTTTTTGCTGACAATTTTCGTAAAAAATCTATTTGGATTTAAAATACTTTTCTTTCGTTTAAAAAAAAACATAATTTCTTCGTTTCTTTGAAATTTTACATACTAACGATACAGAAAAAAAAATTCTCAGATAAAAATCTACTTCTTATTTTAATTTGTAATTCAATACTTTTGTTTTGTACAACTTGGTAGAAATCTGTAAGCAATATTTAATGTTCCTTCAAACATTAAAAAGAGTCCTACATAAAATTTTTATAAAGTTGCGGCCCGCCATTTGACTGGTGTTTTTAATTGCGGCCCCCGGCCTCATGTAGCTTGAAAACCCCTGACCTAAAATATACAGGGAATTTTGTTTCTTATTTTTTGTCTTTTTAAAAATGGTGACCACTCAAAGCGTAATCTATGGGATATTTAACCGTGATATTTCAGTTATACTAAACCATGGATGGGCAAACTTTCAGCTGATAACAGAGATCGAGGGCAAAAAAAATTGGGTGGGCCGAGTAAAAACTGCTTAAATAAAAATAATAAAAAAAAAACGATATACAAGTTTTAATTGAAATATTTAATGAGATGAATGAAATTGCGATTTCATTTTTAAAAGTTCTTTATATTGAGGTTCGAAGTGAGATGCGCTTATTTTAAGGAACGAGGCTAAATGCTTGTCTGTTAGTCCAGTTCTGAAATGATTTTTTTCAAAGGTTCATACTTGAAAACACTTATAAGATGAAGCAAACATATCACCGATTTTCTGGGCATGGTAATGATTTGCAAAACTCAAACTTTGGCATGTTAAGAAACAACAGTGGCGTAACTACCACTACGAATATTAAACACCAATTCGCTAGGCCTCTCAAAGGCTGTATTCACTTCATTGCTTTTACTCAGGCACAAAATGGTATTATAAAAGTATTGCCTCGTCCAAATCATGTCAGAAAAATTACAGTGTGTCTAATAATTTGGTCTCATTATTATACTAATATAATACCTGATATAATAAATATTCATATAATATATCGTCGAATTTATATTATACAGGGTTATTCTCTCCGGGATTTCGAAGCGTTATAGTAAAAAAAGAACATATGAAAGTTTTAATTTAAGCAGTTGCCGGTAGATGGCAGTACCACTGAAGCCAGTTGTAGTAAAGAAAAATGGCGTTTACAGGCGGAGGGAATTACCCTGTTTCATTTCACCAATTAATATACGAACGTAAGCAAGTGCAAACCGGTTTCAGTCTCGTAAAAACATAAAGCTCCTGATCATTAAGATTTTACATAAAATCTTGATAGTGCGTCTAAATTATTTGGCGAGGGAGTGTACACATCAGTCTGAGAAATATTTATTTACTGAAAGAAGTATTTTTGTACAGTCGGATTATTGCGACTCTTTCCTGTGAAGACGGGGTTGTAGTTGTAAATGAGGACAGAATCTTCCATCTCTTTGCTGGGGAAACTGTGATTACTTCTTCGAGCTGAAAATAGAAAGAAAAAAAATACTTTAAGTCATTTCATTTGCAGGACGGAGAATCGTGGTTTATAGGTGTTTTAACCCTTTGGCTACTAACGGGACTCATTTGTCCCCACAAATGTTTAAAAATTACTAATGGGGTGAAAATTCCGCACCCGGCTCGCACCGACCACAGTGCTGACGTGAAATATCCTCAGCGGTAGACGGGTTAGAGTCCCCTTGCCGTCAGACTAACCGTGGAAGGTTCTCGTGGTCTTCCTCTCCATGTAACGCAAATGCGGGTTAGTTCCATCAAAAGTTCCTCCACGAAGGCAAATTTCTCCCAATACTTGATCCAGGAGTTCCCTCGTCTTCTGGATTGGATACAAAATGACAAGGCTACGGAGTTGAACATTAGTAGTCGTAAACCGAAAAAATTGGGTCGGCTGTTCAACGACGGTTATAATATGTATATTGAGGTGAAAAGCACTTTGAAACTCATTGTAATATATCCCAGTCGTAGAGTCGAACCAAGTAAACGTGTTTCATGTGTCAAATATCCCCTAGATGGCGCTAAAGAGTTTCTTGCATGAAATAGCAATGTGATTTTGCGCTGGGACAGATATATCCCACTAGTATTCTTCATTGGGACTGATATATCCCATTCGTATTCTTCATTGGGACATATATATCCCACTAATATTCTTCATTGGGATTGTTATGTCCATTCATATTTTCTCAAATGAACATAGAAAAAAGAACAAATATGAGTTATCCAATGTGTAATGTCGGGTTAAGCAAAGATTCCTTCACCCTGTATCATACCGTGTTAAAAAAAAGTCCATATAATAAATTTTTGAGGAATGATAGATGTGCTTGTAGTAAGTCGATCACTACAGGTGGGGCATATGTATCCCACCATTAAGTACGGCCGGGACATATGTGTCCCAGCCTCTAAATTGATAACCGCTTGTCAAAAAAATCCCAAATGCTAAATTTGCCTTATTTGTGACCTCTGTTGACCTTTTGAATTATAAGCGGTACAAAAAAAAATCATTTTTTAAAATTCGTAGTCAAAGGGTTAAACTCGTTTCTTATGTTCAAAATATCGCTTTGTCTTCCGAGCCCCCACACCAGGAGAGTGGTGGGGAGGCTCAAAAAAGCGCCGAAGAGATATACTATTTACCTTAATAAGCGCTAACTAGGGTATCCGCGCACTTGGAAAGTCATGGATTTCGGTATGGAGCAAAATGTGTCATGAATGTTCTTTTCTTTTTTTTTATTAAAAAAGTCATGGATTTGAGTCGCCGAAAAAACTCATTTTTAAAGTGGAACTATTGATCTCTCCACTTTCACAGTGTACAAAATATCTGACAAAATTACCTATTCACATTTTTATTAAAATATGAAATGTTCTTCATAAATTAGGGTGTTCTTTGAGAAAAAGAAGATAATTTCTTGAGGGATTTCAGAATTTTTTTTTTATTTTTATCAATTTAAAATTCTAGCTGAAAAGCAATTTTTTTTTATTCCCAAATGAGAACGGAAAAATCTGGAAGGAGCATTACTTTCTATACCGATGAGCAAAGAAAGTATCTTTAGAGTATAATTCTGCAGAAGAAAAAAAATTCTTCCCAAAAGACAAATCATTTCAGCACACAACTCAATTGCGTTTTGTGAGGCAGGGCTTTGAGAGTATCGCCAGTGGTTGAATGCTGATGCGGCGAGCAGATAAAGGAGAGTTATTAAATTTATTGTTGTGTTTTTGTCGGAGAAAATAGTAACTTCGGTAAGTCATTAAATGAGTTGTGAAAAGTCATGGATTTGAGAGAAATGCAGCAGATACCGTGGCTAAAACATACTTACGTTACAGCCTTTATTTTTCTCTTACAACTTTGCTCGAAAAACAAGTCCCACAGAAGACTGATCGTTAAGACACGGTTCCCAGCAGATCACCGAAGTCAAGCATCAGTGTGCGGGTGGGTGACCACTTGGATCAGTCTGCGTAGGGACCGAGGGTGTGCGGTATGGATCCTCTTTAAACTGTTCTACCGTAAAGTGCTCGACTTCGCGTGCAGGTCGTCGGGCTACCACCCCCTCTGCAGAGAATCAAAATGGTGATGGCATGTCTTCGGATCATCCTCAGGGATGTTTCCCAGACCGTCGCCAATAGCCCCATTGTGCAGCTCTAGTGCGACGTGAATGAGCTACAACAGCAACAACAAGCTCGAGAAACAAAAGGGGAGGGGGGAAATCGAAATATGTGGTAAGAGAAAAAACAGGTGCCCTTTCCTGGACTCTCTTCCAGAATAAGGGAGAGTTCAATGAACTATGGAACACATAAATACCCTCAGAAATATATATATATATTTTTAAATTATATTAAATTTCCAAGCTTAAATGTCAATTGACTGTTGCTAAAGTACGCAGGGACAGATCAAGAACAATTCAGGCCCACCACATTTTCTGGGCCTCTTACAAAATATTTTGAAATTAAATTACTGAAGAGTAGTCCTAACAATGAAAAAGAATCTATTGAACTGCATTTTTCAAGATTCTAAGAAATTTTGAAAGCAGACAATTGAAGATTATTTTTTCTGAGATAAAGTTAACGCATCTATAAATTAAAGCAAAATATAAAACAACAAAACAATGTTGTGTCGAAATAAAAAATAGTTAGGTGACCACAAATAATTGAAATCGGCGATTTTTGCTAAAAGTCACTGATTAGCTGAATTATTTTTTATTGTTACCTGTAATTATTTTTTATTTAGTACTTGAACCAACACAAAGCTAGCCGACCTTTACTAATTTTTGAGGCCCTTCAGAAATTGTGGGGCCTAGGCGATAACCAGGCCCTGAAAATGCGTGCATTGAAACAACCGATCGATCTATTAATTAAAGCCTTCTTTTTGAATTTTTGTCAAATTTAAAAGAAAAAGAAGAATTACCTTCATTGACGAAGAAGTTTCCAAAATATTGTGAAACTTGTATGGCCTCCGGGGAGTGAGGAATCCTTTTGTGGGTCTTGGTCATTGGCCACTCGAACACAACTTTCTCTGGGTGGAAGGACACACCGAAGTAAGGGTAGTGGAGGGCTGTTTGAAGAATACTTTTATATGAATATGAAAAGTGGCGTAACTACCCCACTACAAATATTAAATACTAGTATTATAAGACACGTTGACTTGATTCTAACTTGAGGTACCTTTTCACAGATGAAGGTTGACATCGTCGATAATTAATCCCCTCAAATATAGTGATATAGATAATTAATCCCCTCAAAGAAATATAATGAGCGAAAATGATATAAGTAAAAAAACATGAAAACAACTAGTGGTATCCGTTCATCGAATTCTAACAGAGATAAAGTACTGGAAGGGGAGTAATGTGGCGTAACTACCTCACTATAAATATTAAATACCAATTCACTAGTATATAAGACATTGTTAACTTGATTCTATCAAGAGGTAGGTCGGGATAGACTGGTCGGTAGGGCACTGGGCCCATGTCCGAGAATTCGTGGGTTCGAACCCCGCCGGCCGAAGACGGCCGTGTCGTAAGGTGACTGATGCACGTTAAATCTGTCGAGTCGCAAAAGTCCTCCATGCTCCCATAACAAATCAATACCTCTGGGGTTACTGGATAGGAGATGAATCGTTGTCTGATTCAGGTTAAAATGACGATCTGTGGATGAATGAATGGGTCCGCCCTATAAACGGGTGTGACGTATGGTGTGGCGGAAGTCGAATTCTTGGCCATAGATGGCGCCGCTGGAAAACAAGAACAAAGGCACCTTTTGATAGACGAAGGTTGACATAGTCGATAATTAAGAGAAATCGCTGTGGACGTTGTAACATCGCCTTGGTAGCTGGTCTATATCTTTGTCGTAGTAAGATTGTGATTAATTCTGGAGGAAGTCCTGTGTTCGTCGTCTGAATGGAAACCCTGTAATGCTCTCTTAAATCAGGGCTAAAGAGAATAGAAGGGCTAGTTCACTCCGCTCTTAGAGCTGAAGCTACGATTTCCCTCCTCATGACGTCACTGTGTCCACAGATCTCGGAGATCGCAAGCAAAGATATGATAACTTTGCATCTTTCTCTTGTAAAAATAAGTTAGACTTTTTCTGGTTATTAGCCTTCAAACTTTACGTAATTAACACATTATTTCCGTTCATAAACATAGTTCAAAAAAAACTTTCTTGGTTATTATATTAAAAAAATACCATTTTAAACTTATAAAAATGTTTTGCTAGTTGGTGAAAATGACACGATAAATACTTTATTTTAAAAAGTTCAGTTTTAACTTTAACTATTAAGAAAAATGAAGGCATATATCGACACTTTTTTTATCTACATATTCTTTTATAACGATAAGTTAAGTTAAATTTAGAATCCCTGATTTTAAAATATGTCGTTAATAGCAATTTGTTCATACTTAATCATTAGGAAACATCAACCTTAAACGCTAATTACTGAAACAAAATAATAATTTAGGTTCATAATGACATTAGAAATTTTACAATTGTTTATAGACATTTAAATTTACGATGATATAATTTATAGATATTTAAATTGAAGAGAATATAATTTTTAAAAAAAATCATAAATATTTAGAATAACTACATTAAAAAATATGTTATGAAATTAGGAGAATTTCAACTATATACTATATATTTTATTTATACTTTTTACTTACATTTTAATTTTCTTTGACTTTATCTATTTTTTAATTCTTTTCACCTGCCTTTCTTTATGAAGTAACGAGGCGGTTTCTATTTAGATAATGAATTTTTATAAAAGTTCTTTACGACAGAATAAACGTATTGCTGTTTTATATTAACTGTGTCATTTCGGAATCCATTCTTTACATAGTTGTTCATTTACTTTAGGGAACACGCGAAAAATTATACTTTTTCCTTTTGTTTTTATATCAGAATTTTTGCAAGTTGCAATCGCGCAAACTGGCATTTCGATAATAGTTTTAAATTCTTGTAAATTCACTGCAAAAACTGAGGAAAGTCATTATAGAAAATAACAAATGTCTTAGAATATCTCGCAAAAAGAAATGATCCAATATTAGTTAGAGCTAGTAAGGCCAAACGCTCCGTTCTTGAAGTAAAAGTGCGAGCTTTGCGCCAAAGTGACGTCGGAGGATCGGCGCGGCGAGAGATACTTCAAAGGAGTGAACCAGCCCTTCTATTCTCTTTAGCCCTGCTCTTAAATGATGTGAAAGTCGCAGGGTCACAAATCTGAACCGTACGGCGGATGTTCCCATACTTCCCAGAGGAAATTTTGTCTGGGTTTCCCGAGAGACGGGCAGTGTCACGGAGAAGTATCACTCGTTATGTGAAAAAGCCTTGTAGTTTCGTCAGAGTATTGTAATGCAGTGTTTCCCACAGTGCGGTACGCGTACCCCAACGGGTACGCGTTCTTGTCGAAATATCTTGCAACAAGCGAAAATTTCAAAAAATTTTATTTAAAAACAAAGCTAACCATGAAAATTTACGATTACGTATTTTTTGCAGAGTACCTGGCATGGGTCCTTATGCGACTCATTGTAATCCTGATAATGTGCCCTAACTCCACTAGAAGCTTATCACAACATTTTGCCCCCCCCCCTCCCATATAGCAAAATTTCTTCCGTAGTAGCTCCCACGGAGGAATCGCTCAACCTCCCTCGGAGCTCCCGACTTTTCCCGAATTGCTCCCGCGGAGCTCCTCAGTAATGCAAAATGTTCGCACCTTTCAATTCCTCAGTCCCTGCGGCGGGCTTCCCGAAAGTCACTCTATAGGATGAGCCGAGGAAAAATTCAGAATCACAGTTAGTAGGCTTAGTGAGTGAGCAATGAAACGTATTCGTGTGTTTTCAGTAACGTGTATAAACAGCAATTTTTCAATATTTTTAATTAAATGACGTTGTTGCTGTTTTTACAAAGAATTTAAAGATTTATCTCATCATATTAAAAATGTAAGAATTAATATTTACTTACTTGCTAATGAAAATCCAGCAATATTGAACGGTGAAACTTAAACTCACTTCAAATACGTAGCGTAGCATCCAGTAATCGTAAGTGCGGGAGTGAGTGTACGAGAGCCATGGGTGCAAGTGTTCCGTCCCCAGGACGGATTTCCGTCTTTCGAAAGTGTCCGCGGACGGAAGTAAGACGGAAACAAGACAGACTTGAAGACGGAAATCGGAATTTTTTTTCCCCTGTCCTTAAAAATATTTTTTAGGTCTACGTTATTGGTCTACTTTCTTATGTCCTGTTGTTATTTTATCAAAAGACAGATGAATAAATATTTTTTGTACAGTATTTAAACTTGATGTATTATGGTAAAGCTTTCTTAGACAGTTGCATATGTCGAGGGGGTATTGCGTATGTTAGGTATTTCAGTCAAAAAAATTTTCAGTCTTGGCCTTTTTTCCAACTTGCACCCATGACGAGAGCGCATGCGCAAAAATGAGACGAATTATGGAATAACCAGGGAGGAAAATCCATTGGATAGATTTCTAACGGATGACCGGTGGAGGAATATCCGTAGGCGATGTTTCCGAAGGACTTCCTACGTATCGTTATCCGTAGGAATGTTAGAATGGAATTTGCCTCGGCGTTCCCCAATTTATCCGCGTCTTCCCTCGGAAGAAAGGGACGCATTTGGGAGGTCCTAGCGAATGGTTTCGGAAGATGAATGCCTTTTATAGATAACGTTTTTAAACTTGTACATTTCGATTTAAAATAAACTGAAAATTTCATTTAAAAAATATCTGTAGCTTTAGGAGCAAAGCTAATTTCAAATCTGAAATCCGCACTCCCGAATGAGGCAAGATCTACAAATGCATCAAAAAAAATCATCTGCGTTATCAAAATATTCATTTTTTTATTCCTTTAATCCCTTTCTTCTCGCTCCCGTGAAAATAACTGGGTGAGGTTTCGCCCTCTATTTCTCGCTCCCGTGAAATATCCAGGCTGGAGTGCTCAGTACTAACGTGCCAATAAGAATAAAACTAATTCATTTCTTTTGTCCGGGAAACATTTTATTTCTCATTTTACACACCAGATGGCAGTACCAGGCAGTATATTTTTTAAGGTAATTGTAGACAGTTAATTTTAAACTAGATGACAGCACTAATCAAATACGTGTATTTGGCAAAATAGGCATTTTTATGACCGTTTTCTTGAAAATTAACCGATCGTTAAGGGGTTAATTTGCTGACTTTATTTCGTTGCGTTGCATGCATGCAAACGAAAGTGGTTTGAATGAAAGGGTTATAGTATTTCTGTTAGTTTTAAATTGAATGAATTTACACAAACATTAGTAATGTTGTATGACTTCAAATATTATTTGTTATAACATGGCTTAGATAATGTAAAAATTCCCAATCATTTTTTTATGGTATGTATTTAATTTCTTCTATTAGAATACATACCTTCTATAATGGATACGAAGGTCATATTTTTGGAATCTTGATTCAGTGCAAGGATTTTGAAATACTTGTCCAGTCCAGACGTTGAAAAATTCTGAAATTATATTTTAATAGTCATTCATTTCAAATGTATTCCTGCTTATAAAGCATTTGTTGATAGAACGGTATTCATTTTTAGAGTAGAGGATGCTTGATTTTTGATTGGGGAAAAAAAGTGTGCATCATTCAAGTCAGTTAACGTCAGTGTAAATAATAATAAAATTTCAATTACAGGAAATCTAAAAGCGCAATCCATCATTGGGTACTTCAAGAAGAAGACCTTCTTTTTTTTTGGCATGACGGTTAAAACAAGATAAAACCGTCAAAAACTTTCGAACCAATTATGATATTTATAAATATCTTTTGAGTGCTTGAAAAGTGCTTATTTTTCGTTTAATAATTTGGCTACGCACCCTGTAGAATGTTAATTAAATACAGATCCGTATAGCACATCGATTGAGTTGTCACCGTTCCCAGCAGTCAGTCTGCGTAGGGACCGAGGGTGTGCGGTATGGGTCCTCGTTAAACCGTAAAGTGCTCGACTTCGCGCGCAGGTTGTCGGGCTACCGAAGGGGGTGGGGTGCCATCCCCTCCGCAGAGGATCGAAATTGCGATGGCATGTCTTCGGATCATCCTCCGGGATGTTTCCCAGACCGTCGCCAATAGCCCATTGTGCAACTCTAGTGCGACGTGAATGAGCAACAATAAATTGTCAACGTGATATATTTTTGTTTCGTATACCTGGCGGCTTCATTGCGTAATTAGTTTATCTATTTTAAACAGGACTTCGTGCCTGTCTCTGTGTAAATATACCGTAAAAGAACTTGAGACTTGGCTTATTCGAAATTGAAAGGAAAGAACGGTTGCTAGCATAAACAAATGGCACTTTTCAACAGCCCGAGATACACACACTACCTCACTTGAAGGAATCCCATTGGATACCTTTAAGCTACGTCAAACATGTGTATCGAACCTGATTGGCTTCGGAATCGACCCATGCCACTATTGACCTGTAGGTCAGGGATGGGCAAACTACGGGCCCGCGGGCCAACTGTGGCCCGCCGGAGGATTTTATTCGGCCCGCGGAAAGAATTTTAACTTGTCGATGCGTTGCGAATATAAATAATATACATTATACATCCATTTTATATTCGAAGATACAAAATGACATTTGTCACAGATCTTCTTTGTCATATAAACAACTTGAATGTTTAGATGCAAGGAAAATAAATTCATTGATGATATCTGGGCCCAACTCAAAGCTTTTAAACTGAAGCTTAATTTGTTTACTGGGCAGCTAGCTAAGAACGACTTGTCTCCTTCCTTGAAGTTAAATTCAATACCCCCAGTAAATAAAGAAAAGCTTAAGAATTATGAGGATGGCTTGAAAAAACTATTTTTAGTTTCAGGTATCAATATTTTAGTGCCATTCAAACAGAGTTAGATATATTTACCATGCCTTTCAACGTAAATTGTGAAACAGTGAGGGCGGATTTGTAGCTTAAATTAATTGAGTTGCAATCTAACAATCATCTGAAGCAGTTGTTTTTAAATGTGGCAAAATTTGAGTTTTACAAATCATTACCAAAAGCTAGTTTTCCAAATTAAATAACTCATGCCAGAAACTCACTGCTATGTTTCATCTATCTTAGTATATATGTGAATATATAAGATGAACCTCAATCTAAGGAACTCTTACAAATGAAATCTCAATTTTATTAATTTCATTAAACATTTAAATTAAAACTTGTATATTGTTTCTTTATTTTAGAAATTTTTACATTGCCCACCAAACTTTCCTTTTTCGATTTTTGGCCCTCGACCTAAAAAGTTTTCCCATCCCTGCTGTAGGTGATGCAATTAGGGTTTGTGATGCAATTAGGTAAATCTAGTTAAAAAAAAAACCCGATTAGTATATAATAACTCGAAATATAGTCCCCATATTTCGCTTAAATTTGAGAGTTAGACAACAGTTTAAAACTGTCCAAAAATAGTACTTGCGCTAATAACTTGCTGGTATCGAATTATTAGCTGCATTTTTTCTTTCTTTCTTTAAGAAAGAGTCTACTTCTTTCTTTAAGAAAGAGTCTACTTCTTTCTTTAAGAAAGAGTCTTTCTTTACTAAAGCGAATTTCTCTTTGCATGAAAATAAAATGCTTAGCAATGAATGGTGTGCTTGATTACACTAAAAAGAATCGATGAGACCGGGATAGCCTGGTCGGTAGGGCGCTAGGCCCATGTCCGAGAGTACACGGGTTCGAACCCCGCCGGCCGAAGACTCCCCGTGTAGTAGAGTGACTGATGCACGTTAAATCTTTCGAGTCGCAAAAGTCTTCCATGTTCCCATAACAAATCAATACCTCTGGGGGTACTGGATAGGAGATGAATCGTTCTCTGATTCAGGGCAAAATGACGATCTGTGGATGTTTGAATGAATGAGTCCGCCCTATAAACGGGTGTGGCGTATGGTGTGGCAGTAGTCGAATTCTTGGCCATAGATGGCGCCACTGGAAAACAATAAACGCACATTCTGCCATAAATTTGCTCGGTTTCAGCAAGCAGGCTTGCTCGTGTGGCAAGTGGCATTAGAAACAACAGCAACAAAGAATGGATGAGGGTTCATACCTGAGTGGTGAAGCACCATTGATGGTAATGAATGACGACGTCTCGATTCTTCATTGAATTTTCTAATTTTCTGTCGAGTTCTCTAAACATTCGACTTTCCTTAAATCCTGCAACAACAATCAACTCTTTTAATGGTACATTTTCATGTTTACCTGTTCCTCGGAGTATTTTATGTTCCGAATATTTAAATAGTGCGAGTCAGTATAGTTATTTGTTTTCACAGAATTGAATGAAACCAATGTACAGTTGGACCTCTATTTAACCAAGTCGCTAAATCCCGATAATAAGTTCGTTACATGGAAAATTCGTTAAATAGAAAAATCGCCTTTTGAAATGCTTAAACAACAGAAAACAGGTTTTAAATTCATAAACACTAGACATAACTGAAAAAGCAATGGATGCACCTTGTAAACTAGTATCTACTATTTATTTTATAAATCTTAACCATAAAAGAAATCTGCATGGAAAGCAAGAATAGAGCAAAACATTATCCAGTACATGCTACATACATTTTCAACTAAGAAAAATTATAACTGCACTTATTATAAAAGTAATTTTAAACATGCGTTCTGAAGTTTAATTGCTACAGATAAAATCCGTTAAATTTGGACTGAGTTTTTCATTTGAAATGCAAACAAAAAGGGATTTTACCACTTTCTCTCAAATAATTTTTAGAGAAAGCAGGAAAGCATTACATAAAACAGAGGCTTCGAAAATCAATTCAAGGTCATTTCCCCCATAAAATGCGTTAACAAGTTTGAAATGTTCTGAAATATGTTGGGAAATAGGGAAAGTGGATCTCAAAGAAAAGTTCGTTCAATAGAAAATTCACTGCGCTATTTGGAAGTTATCTTGCAAGGAAATTTCCAAAATGTTCTCGGTTCCTCTAAAAAAATTCTCAAAATGGAAGTTTGTTACATAGAAGTCCGACGGTATTTATAAAAAGTACACTTCTATCTATTAAATTGTTTAGACAAGTTTAGCCTCGGTTTATCAAAATTTATATACCGTGAAAACAAATCATTTTGAAGTGGTGAGAGTTATTCTCCTCTATTATTTCATTCCTCTTTACTTCTAAACTATTAGTACTATAGACTTAATTTTATTGGAGTACATAAGTACAGGGTGCTTAGCGTTTTTAAAAAAAGTGCTTAAAGGTGCTTATTTTCGTTTTTTAAAAGCCCTTAAAGGTGCTTTTTTCATTGGGTGTTTTTAAAAAGTGCTTCATTCTCCCTTTTTCAAAATGAGATTTTTCCTTTACCATGCTGATTTTCGCTACGAATTATGTAAAAAGGTACAGTTCACATTGTTCTATTCAATGTCTTCACAATTAATTCAAATCCCAATCTATTTCGACGTATTGTCAGTCCGTAGCGTATGAAAACGCCATTCGTTTTACGTGACTCAAAATTTCATGATTTTTGACAATTGTCAAAAACAATGCCAAAAGTTTTTTTTTTTTGACATGTCGGTTAAAATAAGATATAAAACAGTCAATTGTCAAACACTTTCTTAACCCTGCCTAATAGTGATATTTTTTTCAATGTGCTTGAAAATATTTTTGAATGCTTGAAAAGTGCTTAAAAGGTGCTTATTTTTTGTTGAGTAATTTGGATACGCACCCTGTTACTTATGATTCCTTTTAAAATGTATAGCAATAACATAATGATTTTAATTTCTTTTTTTTTATTTGTCAAATACTCTGGATTTTCTNGTTTTTTTTAAACAATTAAAGAGATACAGAAAAATTTTGTTATAAAATTTTTTTATTAAACATATTTTTATGGAAAAACAAATAATTAAGTAATTATTGATGCATAACAATTAAAAAATTGTTTAATCAAACAAGAATTGTAATCGTCTTGTTTGCTGTCCAAATCTGTTTAAAACCTTTTTCTACAAGAAAAAAACTTTTTTCTACGAAAGTTACTTTTTTCTACAAAATATATCAAAATGCAGTCAATTTGTATAATCTGCTCATAAGTCGAAAGTAATTTTTTATCTAAACAGTCAAAAAGAGATTTTTCTCTTGGGCAGATATCTAAGCTATATTTTTAAATTTCATTTAATAAAATACAAATATTATATTTTCTATTAGTTATTTAGTTTAACAAAGGTGTATAACACAAACTGACTTCTCACAACTGTAGAACTTCATCAACACAGTAAGTACCAATGTTAAGCGTGCACAAACACGTTAGTATACGAAACTACTGTTTGTAGTTGTTTGTGTTTCAAAGTCAGTAGCTATGCCATCAATACAGTTTCTTCGTGGCAAAATTGGCAATTACAAGAAATTTGTATTTTTTTTTTAAATATCTTGTTAACAATGAAGAAATGTATCTTGAAAAAAATTAACAGATGTAAATATATGTAACAGCAAAGCAAAATGTAATACCAGAATATTTTAATTTTGGGGAGGGTAGTTTGTTAGATGGTTGCACATTCTTTAATATTATTCTGCCAACGACCTTGGCATTAGCAAGAGGCATTAGCACAACCCTCTAATATCCCTGTCCTATTTTTAACATCCTCCACTTTCAGTTTGCACCATCAGGGGCAACCCCCTGATGACTTCCGCTGTGCAAATTATATCATCCGCTATCAAGCTACGTACATTTGACACCTTGTCCAGGTTACTAGATCTAGAATTTTTCACTAAGAAGAACGCAAAGTTTTTAAAATCTGGAACATTAACCAAACTTGGATTCCAAAATAACCTCTGGTTGAGGCAATTCAATTTATTAATTAGGGGAAATGGCATACGGGCTGACAGAACTAAATATATCGAGATAAACAGAGGGCTCACTAAGGCCCTTGCATATGAATGATTATGAATTTGAAGCTGTTGATGAATACTTTAGAACTACTGTAACCTGCAAAAGTGGCATAAATACCAAAATCGATAGCCGTTTAGCAATGGCGAACAAGTGCTACTTTGGTTTAAAAAGCAAACTAAAAAGTAAGTTTCTTAAACAAGGGACAACATATACAAAACACTCCTACGGCCTGTGATCTTGTATAGTCATGAGTGCTGGACTCTTAATAAAAAAGAGGAGAACAAATTGCTGATTTTCGAGAGAGGGATACGTAGAAGAGTTTTTGGTGAAGTCAATGAGAATAACAAATGGCGCACTCTTTACAATCATGAGTTATATGAAAAGTGTAAGCAACCAGACATAGTTCATGTTATCAAGGCCAATCGCATTCGATGGCTGGGACACCTTTATAGATCTGAAAACCATAACGCCGCAAAGAAAAGTAACTTTTTTAAACCAGATTGTACAATAAAAAGCTCTGTCGTTCACCGACTATCTGGTTGGTCGCAGATGAGAGGGACCTAAAGGTAATAGGAATAATTAACTGGAAGGCCATGGCACAGAATAAATCAAGATGGCAAAAGCTTGTTCGGATGGCATTTGCCTGTCATAGGCTGTAGTGCCCAAGAATGAGAAGAATTTATATTTTGTAATATAAATATTTTATATTGTGGCGATTTCTATTGAATAACAAATGAAGCAAAATATCAAGAAAATATATATAATTTTTATTTATTATATTTTGTAATATTAATATTTTCTATTGTGGCGACATCTATTGTATAAATATGGAAGCAAATTATAAAAAAAATATTTATTATTTATATTTTGTAATATTAATATTTTTTATTGTGGCGACATCTATTGAACAACAAAGGAAGCAAAATATCAAGAAAAAATATTTTTTATTTGTATTTTGTAATATTAATATTTTTATTGTGGCGACATCTATTGAATAACAAAGGAAGCGATATATCAAGAAAAAATATTTATTATTTATAGTTTGTAGTAATAATATTTTCTATTGTGGCGACATCTATTGAATAACAAGGGACGCAACATATCAAGAAAAAATATTTATTCTTTATATCTTGTAATATTAATATTTTTTATTGTGGCGACATCTGTTGAGTAACAAAGGAAGTGAAATATCAAGAAAAAATATTTATAGTTTGTAATAATAATATTTTCCATTGTGGCGACATCTATTGAATAACAAGGGACGCAACATATCAAGAAGAAATATTTATTATTTATGTTTGTAATATTAATATTTTCTTTGTGGCGACATCTATTGAAAAATAAAGGAAGCAACATACCAAGAAAAAGTATTTATTATTTATATTTTGTAATATTAATAATTTTTATTGTGGCGACATCTATTGAATAACAAGGGAAGCACCATATCAAGAAAAAATATTTATTATTTATATTTTGTACATCTTTTGCTATATGGAGACTTTCCATCTTTTTATTGACTTTAAGGCAGCGTATGACAGTATCAAGAGAAATAAGTTGTATGAAGTAATAGATGAATTTGGTATTCCCCTGAAGCTTATTAACTTGACAAAGGCAACACTCAGAAAAGTCAAGTGCTGAGTTAACGACTAGGTGGCTGGACGCAGATGAGAGGTACCTAACGATAATAGGAATAACTAACTGGAAGGCCATGGCACAGAAGAGATCAAGATGGCAAAAACTTATTGGGATGCCATTGGCCTGTTATAGGCTGTAGTGCCCAAGAAGAAGAAGAATTTGTATTTTGTAATATAAATATTTTTATTGTGTCGACATCTATTTAATAACAAACGTAGCAAAATTTAAAGAAAAAATATCAAAAAGGCCAACTAAAAAGTAAATTTCTTAAACAAAAGACCAAAATTAACATATACAAAACACTCCTACGGCTTGTGATCCTATATGATAGTGACTGCTGGACATGTCGGATAACTATAGCAACCCCCTCCTCTGCGAGCATGCTCACTGTCTCCGATCCTCAGACAGATGAATGGGGGATACGGAGGTGAGCAGATATAATTAAACGCTCTGATTATGTTACGAGGATTTAGTTTTAATGTACATATTGTTTCATTCTTAATAAAAAAAAAATTTCTTATATTCGCCATCATTTCTTCCTATTAATTTAAGAAGAACCCTACGCGACTCTTAATAAGGAAAGAGGAGAACAAATTGCTTATTTTTGAGAGATTGATACTTAGAAGAATTTTTGGTGCAGTCAATGAGAATAACAAATGGCGCACTCTTTACAATCATGAGTTATATAAAAAGTGTAAGCAACCAGACATATTTCATGTTATCAAGGCCAATCGCATTCGATGGCTGGGACACCTTTATAGATTTGAAGATCATAACGCCGCAAAGAAAAGTAACTTTTTTTAAACCAGAAGGTACAAGAAAAGCCGGTCGTCCACCGACTAGGTGGGTAGACGCAGTTTAGAGGGACTTAAAGATAATACGAATAACTAACTGGAAGGTCATGGTACAGAATAAATCAAGATGGCAAGACTTTGTTCGGATGGAATTGGGCTGTAGTAGTGCCCAAGAAGAAGAATATATATTTTGTAATATAAATATTTTATATTGTGGTGACATCTATTGAATAACAAATGATTACGATTATAATAACGATAATGCAGATGGATGGATGGTGTGTGAATGTGCCTCTCCTGTTAAACGGGCTGTGATATATGTGTGTGGCAGAAGTTGGATTCTCGGCCATGGGTGGTGCCTCTGGTAAACAAGAGTAAACGCACCCTTCTGCCTTAAAATAAACTTGCCAGTATTGACAAGTAGCATAAGACAACAACATTTTTGTATGTTTTTTTTAAAATTAACGTTCCCAATTTTGAGTATACTCTCTTTTTATTTTATTTGTGATTCAATGAACTGACATTGTTGTAAACCTCACCTGTTGTAAAAGTGAGATTGGTTGGAAGGTCTTGAGCGAGGCAAGCTTTCCTTAAATCTTTCTTGGCCACCAATAAAGTCAGGAGTTCAAATCCAAGGCATGTTCCCCACACTGGGAAATAATCACCCTTATCATTCATCTGAAAAAAAAGATGATTATCATTTATTCTGAACTGTGATTTATTATTTTTGTTTCCTATGATTGTTGATATTGAAAGATATCAAAACGTTTTATTGTTAGCACCACACATTGTAATAAAATTTATAAACATCCACAATTTTTTTTTTTTTTGTTTCTTATGATTGTTGATATTGAAAGATATCAAAACGTTTTATTGTTAGCACCACACATTGTGATAAAATTTAAACATTCACAATTTTTTTTTTGTTTCTTATGATTGTTGATATTGAAAGATATCAAAACGTTTTATTGTAGCACCACACATTGTAATAAAATTTATAAACATCCACAATTTTTTTTGATTTTTTTGTTTCTTATGATTGTTGATATTGAAACACATCAAAACGTTTTATTGTAGCACCGCACATTGAGATAAAATTTATAAACATCCACAATTTTTTTTTAATTTTTTTGTTTCTTATGATTGTTGATATTGAAAGATATCAAAACGTTTTATTGTTAGCACCACACATTGTGATAAAATTTATAAACATCCACAATTTTTTTTGATTTTTTTGTTTCTTATGATTGTTGATATTGAAAGATATCAAAACGTTTTATTGTAGCACCACAGATTGTAATGAAATTTATAAACATCCACAATTTTTTTTAATTTTTTTGTTTCTTATGATTGTTGATATTGAAAGATATCAAAACGTTTTATTGTTAGCACCACACATTGTGATAAAATTTAAACATTCACAATTTTTTTTTTGTTTCTTATGATTGTTGATATTGAAAGATATCAAAACGTTTTATTGT